GAAGCGAGATATCGTGGGCATGGCGAATTAAATGTGAGGGCTAGAGTAGTCTAACTGAAGGGTTGGCAAAGGGTGATATAAAAGATTTGGTGGTGTTTAAGTGAGATATCAGATGATTTGGAGAAAAAGGATTTTGGTGAAAAAGGGCGATATTTAGGATTTGGGTTGATTAAGAGAGATGAAAGAGGATTTGGGGACTTTTGGTTAATATCTAGGTTTGTGAGATACATGGTGATAACTGGGAAGTATTAAAAGGGATTTCGTATGGTGATATAACAGGGGGTTTGGGGTGATTAAGAGGGATATCATAGGATTTCGGGGCTAAGGGGTAATATCTGAGATTTTGGGGTGCAAAGTAGAAATATAGATGTTTTCGGCCTAAAGGGTAATATCTGAGTTTTTGTGGATAAATGGTGATATCTGTGATTTGGGGCATGGTTAAGAGAGATATCAGAACATTGGGGAGGGGATTAACAGGATGGTGGTTAAGAGGGATATTGCAAATTTTTAAAAATAAAGGGTGTTTGCTGTGATGTGTGATTAGGAGATATTTCATAAGATTAGAATCTAATAGGTCATTCTGGGATTTTGGGGTGATTATGAGGCATTTTAGAGGATTGATGGTGATTAATTGGTGGTGATTAAGAGAGTTGTGATTAAGAGAATGGAAGCAAAGAGGGATATCGGAGGATTTTGGAGATAAAGAGGGATATCTATGATTTGAGTGTGATTAAGAGCGAGTTCCTATGAGTTGGGGGCTAAAGGGTGATTCTGGGATTTTGGTGGTGATTAAGAGGATACCAAATGATTTGGGAATAAAGGGTAATATTAGGGATTTGGGCTTGAGCAAGAGACTCTTCCCATCAATTTGAGCTGTCCAGTAGCGGTTAAGATGTTGGGATTTGAGTCCGTCAAAGAGTGAGGTTGATCTAGGAAGAATTACAAGGTGTTGTACGAGCGTTAGGACGCGCGAAGCGCGTCCTAACGCTCGTAATTAATTAAATTTCATTAAAATTTAAAATAAAAAATTTCACAAGATTACTGTAATTATAAATTTAATAATGGCAATGAAACGTCCTTTAAATTTTCTCACCAAGCCTTTTTATCGCGACGAAATTTTTTTCTTAAATTTCTGATATTTTGTTTTTTTTTTGCCGATTTTTTAGATTTGTTTTTTTAATAATTTTAATTTTTAGTTTCAAAAAAGCCTCTTTATTTCAAAAATGGGTTTTGGAGGTGGACGACGAGGAGGAGGAGGTAGAGGTGGCGGTGGTAGAGGAGGGGGAGGAGGAAGAGGTGGAGGACAACAATTTGATCAGGGACCGCCAAATGAAGTTATAGGTTAGTTTTAATTTTTTTTGTTTTTCTCTTTTATTTTAAAAAAAGTCCTCAAGTTTTATCCGCAAATTAAACTTTATTTTTCTGAATATGTTAGATATTTTCCACTAGAATGATAAAGCTTTACTACAAATTGTGGATTGTATGCAGTTCCTTTTTTGATTTAAGTAAAAACATGTAGTTTGACCTGCGGATAAAAATTACTGATTTTTGGAAGCAAAAAAGAATAAAAAGTTTTTTTTGAATATTTGCATTCTAAAGCTCCACTTTTAAATTTTTGAAAAAAGTCCAATGTAGTGAAGAGACTTCACCTATTTTTAGAAGTTCCCAAAAAATTCATTTATTTTTTTAGAACTTGGATTTTTTACTCACAATTGTGAAAACGACATTGTCTGTCACACAACATGCGGAAAAATTCCATATTTTAATGCTCAAGTTTATTTTCAAAATAAGGAATGTATTGGCAAAATTGATGAAATATTTGGTGGACCTAAAGACAATGTTTATTTTTTTTAATTTTTAAATAAAAAAATTTTAAGGGATTTTCTGTTAAATTAAGTGAAGGACTTAAAGCTTCCTCATTCAAACCAGACCAAAAAATTTATATTGATCCATACAAACTTTTGCCTCTTGAACGATTTCTTGATGGGGGACAGCAGCAAAGAGGCGGGAGGGGTGGTCGAGGAGGAAAAGGAGGACAGCAACGTGGAGGTGGGGGAGGACGAGGAGGTGGAGGTTTGGAAATTTTTAATTGGAATTTAGTAATGTGGGTTTGGTTTCGGGTCCAATATCGAGATTAAGAGCTTCAAAAATCCTTGTTCTTTAATATATATTACCATTTTCTGATTGAAAACAAAAAATAATAATCACCCTTTTGGAATTTTTTCTCCAATTTTTTAGAAATTTTTAAATAATTTTTTTGTTCTTTCCCAAGGCGAACTAAATTCGCCTTCCCTATTTTCTTCTCAAAATTTAACAATTTTATAATTTAGGTCGTGGAGGAGGGGGTGGTGGTTCTTGGAAAGGAGGAGGTTAGAAAAGACATTTTTATGGTGTTACGACAATTGCGGATTCGCACGTGCGGATGCGACAATTGCGGATTAGAAATTTTAAAAAAATTTTTAAAATGATTGAAATGATATCTCGTTTTTTAGTCCCGGCTGTGAGTCTCAGACTTCTGACGGTTTCCGAATCATTTTTAGACTGATGTGGCATCGAAAACTTTAAAAAATCTTAAATTTTTAAAAAATTTTATATCCGCAATCGTCGCATCCGCATATGCGTATCCGCAATTGTCGTACAGCCATTTTTATATGAATTTATAATCTATAAATTCAAAAAATATTTTTATTTTTGTAGCTAAATTATTTTTACACAAATTAATTTTTTCTGATCTTTGACGTTAAAATATTTTTTTATTAAAAAAGAATAAAATTTAAAAAATTTTAATTTAATCTTTTAAGGTGGAGGAAATTTTAGAGGCAATAGAGGTGGCGGTGGGGGAAGAGGTGGTGGTGGTGGTGGTCAAGGTGGAGGACGAGGAAATGATAATAAAGGCCGTGGAGGTGGTGGAGGAGGCTTTAGAGGTGGAAGAGATTTTTCTGGGCCTCGAGGTGGCGGCGGTGGAGGATTTGGAGGAAATCGTGGAAGAGGAGGTCCTTCAAAAGATTTTGGACAAAAACGACCATTTGGTGGTGGCGGAGGAGGAGGAGGTGGTGGTGGAATGGGAAAACGGAAAAAGTTTGATGAATAAATTAATTTAATTGTTTTTTTTGTTATTTTTTAAAGTATTTTTTAAAAAAAAAGTTTTTGTTTGAAATTTTGTGTTTTTTTTCGATTTTTTGAGGGGGGGGGGAGTAATTAATTTTATTAATTTTAAATAGATTTTTTTGATATCCTAAAAATTAAGTAATAATTAAGGTAAATATCGGTTAGCTATTAGGTGGGAGAGCCGCGTAAGCGTTCTTTTTTAATATTAGGGTTTTACTCCGAACGTTAGGGATCAGGCATGTCGGGGTACAACTCTTTAATATAAGTCATTAGCAAATTTCAAAATTTAAATTTTTTCAAATTTCCTTGTCATTTCCAATCTAATTCTCCGAGTATAGTGAAATTTATCTTTAGTACTTTTAAAATCGGATCAAATTTAATTTGAGCTAAAATAGTTTGAATTTTTTTAATATTTAACTCATAGAAATTTTTTAATTAAAAATTTAACTTTTCTTTCTCTTTTTAAAATTCCATTCTACCGGATTTCCTAAAAATAGTAGGAAATAAATTCTCTTAAGAGACGCTTTTAAGATTAAACAATTGATTGAAAATTCTTTTATAAAATTGGAAAGATTAATTTTTTTATTTTAGTAAAAGTACATTTCTTTTTTTTATTTTAATCTGATATTGAAAGGAAAAAAATTTTTTTTGTTAATATTTAATTGATGAAAATTAAAATTAATTTTCTCTTCTTTTTATAACCCTTAAAGTAGCTTCTACAGACAGAAATACGTATAATTTCCACAAAAAAATTTGTTGAGGGGAATTAATCTTGTCTTCTTCCAAATTTTTTTTTCTGCTAATTTTTAAAAAAACCAAAAAATTAAAAATCCTCCAGCCAAAATCAAAAAAAAATTTTCAGAAAATCCGCCTCAGAAAGTCTTTAGAAAATGTCAATTGTACATGTACGTCTTCACAAGAAAAGAAAAAAGCAAAAAGAAAGTCAATAATTTTTGTTTGACAAGATGGGTGGTGGTTGTCACTAAATATATTAAAGTTAAAAAAGAAAGAGAAAACCTTCTAGCCATTTGTGTTAGAGAAAAAGAAAATGAAAAGAGATTAAATAAAAAAAAATATTTAAATGAATGTGTGTAATACGAGAATAATCGTGCCTGTGGTCTCTGGTCTCTCTCACTCTCTTACCAAAAAAAACTAGCACATGATTTAGCGGAATCTGAAGAGGATAGATAGCAAGAGGGGGGACCATCATTCTTAAACTCATTCTTTTTTTTTTGGTATGTCGGCAATTCCCTTTATTTATTTTCTCTTTCCGTCACTTTCAACGCTTCTTTTTTTTTGGTCTATAGTCTCTCCGTTCAATTTTCTTTTCATTTTTTGTCCCCAATTTTTTTTTTCAAAGCCAGTCCAAAAATACTTACTGCTACTAACTACCACACTCTAAGACCATTATGTGATAAAAGAAAAGAAGGCTGAAAGCGTGTTTGTGTGTATATTTTTGAGTTTATAGAAACGAGAGTGTCGGAAATTGTCGCACTAATCAATAATTGCGTGTGAGTGCCACTTACATTTTCTACTAAAAAAAGAATCCCTTTTCAGCTACTTTATATACTATTCAAATTTATGGTTATAGAGAAAGTAGTAAAAGATTTATGGCGATTTTTTATGCCTATACGTCTTGTGATTTGAACGTAATTTTATTTCTATTTTTAAAAGGGAATTGACAAAATTTTAAATAAATTTTTTTTAACGTTCTTTGGTTTCTCTTTTATTGATTTAAATTTTATTTTATCAATTTTTCTTTTTAATTAGATTAAGATCTTTATTTGAAATTTTTTTGTTGATAAAATTTATTAAATATTTTATATTAAAATGCAACAAAATTCTTCTTTTACTCCTTTTGGGAATATTGCATATTTCAATTAAATGTAATATTTTTCTGAATGGAGAAACAAACAAATCAACTTTAATTTTAACGATCTAAATAAAGGTTTGATTTTTAAGAACAAATTAAAAGTTTTTAGATTCTGGCACCGAACAGTACCAGAACTTAGCAGAAACAGCTCGTTTCGGTGCTAGATTTCAGTGTTATCACAGATTTTATTAAAATCAAAGCAAAATTCAGTTCCCTTCAGAGGGGTCGGAATTTCGAGTTCCGAAAATATTCCGACAGTTCCGATTACCTTCGTCATTTCTGACTCACCTCTGGTTCACTTTTAAGACTGGTCTAAGGGTTGTGATTGTTCCATTTGTTTTTTTGAATCGGGTGGAACGGTTGAATCACGGAGTCGTTGTATGCCTTAACCGAAATTTGTATTTATTTTCCCCCAAACTTTTCCATTTTTTGAACCTAATTTCAAATAATTTTTAATTTATTTTCCAGAAATCTTTTTTTATTACACAATGCATGATCACACTCCTTGTTCATCTGCCTCAACAACAACAACTTCCTCTACCCAAATAAACACCCAGAAAAACCTTTCCCCTTCATCGAAACAAGATTTAAAACAAAAAGATAATTCATTGACAAATCAATCGACGCCATGTGTTTTTTCTGTCGATTCTGTATCGGATATTACAATTGAAAATCAGTTGTCAAATTGTTATGGTGATGGTGGTTCTTTACAAATGGAACAAATGAGTTGTAATAGTGGTCAAATGCTACAACATTTTGGTTCTTCTAGCACTACTTTGTAACTATTTTTTAATTAATAGGGATCGTTAAGGGGAATTATGGCCAAACCGTTATTTAAAAAACGTGATTTAAATGGGAGCCTGGTTTTAGGAGTTTGGTATGAACGTGGCATGGGACTGATCCCTTGCGTGTGGTCCTGGACGGGACCGTAGCCCCCCCCCCCCCCCCCCCCGAAAATTCCTGGCTACGGCCCTGGTCCTGGAGTTCCCTGTTAAACTCTAAAATGCATGGGTCATGTCTCCTTTGTATCGGGAAAAACCCCAGGTCTGACTCGATCTCTAATATGTTCAATATTTTTAAAATTCACGGAGTGTTCTAATCGAAAATAAAATTTTTAATTTCACGGACCTTTAAAAATTTTAATATTTTTATCATTTAAAGTTCAACAAGTTCATCCAATATAACAAGCGGTAGCTATCCAATTGACCAATACAGTGTTGCTAGTTCCTCGGGTGTTGCAACATTAGATTCTTCAGCTGATCGATTTCAGCCTACAAATTTTGTGCCTAGTCGAATTTCAAATGATGATAGCACCCCAACAATGAGTATATTAACAGAAACTAGTGGGACATCAAATTTAAATAAAAAGTTTGTTTAAAAAATTTTTTCCTTGAAAAATTAAATAAGGGGTCACTCGGACGTGGAGCCGAAACGTAACCTGCACTTAAGTGAAATTTTTTAAAATAAACATTGATTTTGAGTGCCAAAATTAAATTGGATAAATAGGTTAAAAATCACAATAAAGCTTTATCTTCCTTACAGATGCCAAATAAAAATATTTTTTTAGAGAATTAATCCAATTATCAACTGGAACAACTTCGACAATAAATTCAACAGAATCTGCAACAGAAGCTATTATTCCATCTACAACAATTACTGCATTTTCTAGTCTTTCATTAAATGCTACTGAACCCGGTAGAAAATTCCTTAGTGGGAACAAACCTTCGGGAATTTCCGCAAAAATTTTTTCGCGTTCTGCAAAGGATAGTGAAGATTCTGGTTTGCTTTTATTCATTTTTTGTAATATAATTTTTTTATTTTAGCTGCTTCACCGGGTAGTTTCCTTGCTCTTCAAGGACAAGCACATTCTACTCCATCACTTTTGTCTTCTTTTACAGGTTTTTTGTTTTCTATTTGAAATTAATTATTTTAATCATTTCTTTAGGTTCAGAAGGCAGTTCTGGACAACAAGTAAAAATTGCCCCAGGTAGCAACAATAGCAAAAATCAAGGACAACAAAATGTAATTTTTAGACGATTTATAATTTTAGCTTTAATTTTCCCTTTCATTCTCTAATTTTTAAATTTAATTTCGGAATTTATTTTTGTCCTCTCCAACCTTGTCTAATTGAATTACCTCTTTTACTTTGAATTTTTCTAAAAAAATTCTTTTTAAGATTGTTGACATAAATACGCCCTCAACTGTCTCTAATAATACCCCGAGTGATTCTACTACCCTCGAAAGTTCGTCCTCCAATTCATCTCATTCCATTCTTGGCTCCAATCAATTACCTTCTGTGCTCAATTGTGCTGCTACTTCATGTTCTCAAATTTTTTGTACTCCTTTGAGAACGATTGTTTCACAAAATAGACGTCGTTATCAAATGGACGGGTTTAATTTGGATCTCACATGTTGGTTTTTGGTTTATAAAAATTTTTACCCTTTTCTCTGTAAATATTAAAGGGAATTTGAATTGAAAAATAGCCTTATATGGAAATGCCACTAGTCTTTTTTCTTTTACTTTTTTAATCAAAGGCCCATTTTGGGAGTTATACCTTTTGGCCTAATCAAATCAAAAAATTTTTAATTAATTTTTTTCCAGATATAACTGATCGTATAATTGCGATGGGCTATCCAGCAGAAACCAAGGAAGCCTTATACCGAAACAGTATGACTCACATAGTCAAATTTTTGGAGCATTATCATCCGGGTCATTATAAAGTTTTTAATTTGTAAGTTTTCTTAGATAATTAAGTTATATTTAAAATTATTTAAATTTAAAGAAGAGGTCAATATGTTTATGATCCTGCCAATTTTCACAATCGTGTAATTTCTTTTGAAATGACTGACCATCACCCTCCTCGTCTTGAATTAATGGCACCATTTTGTAGAGAAGTCCATGAATATTTGGAGGCTGATCCTTTAAATGTGGTTGCTGTACATTGTAAAGCTGGAAAGGTTTGGAGAAATTTTTTGGGTCTATTAAAGACTTCATTTAATTTAATTTCTTCAAGACAAGGACGTCTCCCCCTCTTTTTCTGTTGTTGTTTTATCCCTCCAATTTTTGTTTTAAAATATATAAATCATTTTTTCAATTTTTAGGGGCGTACTGGTGTAATGATTTGTGCCTATCTTTGCTATATTTCTTTTTATCGAACTCCACGACAAAATATGGATTATTACAGGTTTTTTCTTTTCGATTAGCTAAGGAGTAATTACATTTTTGGAGTAATTTTACTCATTACGTTTTTGTAATCTTACGATTATTCCCCATTATCAGATCTCATACTTTGGTTAAGATTATTTTTTATTTTAAACAATTTTTAAGCATTATCCGCACTCACAACAACAAAGGAGTCACAATACCTTCACAACGCCGCTATGTTTACTACTTTGCTCATTTACGTGAACGCAAACTTAATTACATACCTTTACGTTGTGGTATGTAATTTTTAGATTTTATTTTAATACTCGTCTTTAATTTTTGGATTAGCCAAATTGTATTCAATTTCAATTTAACTTTTGAGCAAGCACTCTGACCCTCAACCTAATTTTTAAATTAAAAATCAATTTCAGAGCTTGTTGGTGTATATTTGGAACGTCCTCCAAAACTTTCTGGAACATTTTCAAAAGGCGCATTAAAAGTTAGAGTTGCCTGTGGTGATGTTGATGTATTTCTGGGAAGTGATATGTGGTTAAATGCTGAACAATATGAAGAAGAAGAAGAATTATATAAACGTTTCCCTCTTGCTTCAGTAGAAGAAGAACAGTTTGATCAACAACAATCTGATGTTGACAAAAATTGTATTTCTAGAAGATGTTATGGTTGGACAGTTCCTTCAAATAAAAGGGTGTTTTTGGAGGGAGATATTCGGATAGATATATTTCAAAAATCTCGTCTAAAATTATTTAATGTGAAGCAAGAAAGGAAGAAAGTTGGACATATTTGGTTTAATACAATGTTTACTTGTCCTGGATTTTGTGGAGGGCAATATGTTCATGGTAAATTTTATATGATAAATTTTGGTAGTTTATTTTGAGATGTGCCTAATTTTTATTAATGGAAGAAAGGGAAAATTTTTGGGGTCTCAAATTTTTTTAAATCAATTTTAATCGACAATTTGATTTTCTCCGTTCAGAATTTTTCTTAATGAAGTATGAAATTAAGAATTTTTGAATGAAGATTTATTATTTTTGTTCTTTATAATTTAACCGAAAATGTCAGTCTACGCTGGGTGTTTAACTAAATTTAAATCCTATCTTCGCTTTAATTCGTCTTTCTCAATAAATTAAATTTAATACTTTTAAGGTGATGAAGCTTATCAATATCCTGATTCTATGATTGTTAGACGTTGTTTCAAACGCGTAGAGCATCAAAAATCTATTAGCAGCAAGAACAGTGAACTTGACGATTCGGTAAGCAGTGGAAGCAAAAAACAGTCAATTGCTGATGATTCTTCAATTTCTACACAACATTTTTCTCCTACATTATCTAATCATGAAAAATGTTTATCAGGCGATGAAAAGAAGGAAGAAAGACAAAAGAGTCGTTCAATGCGATTTGTTAGTAGAATAACAAATGAAGGAGGAGGGATAACTGGAACTGCAAAAAAACGTTAGTTATTTACAAGATCCGGATTTTTAGGAAATAAATTCCCTAAAATAGGTAGTAAAAGGGAAACGAGGCCCAAAATTAACTGATCAAAATTAACTTAAAAATTTAAATGTATTTCTGTATTTTTAGGTTCAGCTCGTTCTCCCTGTAGACAACTCATTGAATCTGAACAGAAAGGTACACTATATTTTTTGTCTTTTATAAGATAGTATTTCCAGGTTGGCAATCACAAGATGGGTGTGCTTCTGAATTATTAAACAACCAAACAGCTCCAAGGAAACAATGTCGTTCTAGCCTTGATACAATTCAAAATGATTATGAAGAAGAGATTATTGTTGAAAAACCTCCAGGTTTGGATGTTCACTGTCCAACTGAATCGCTTCGTGGAATTTACCCAAACGAGAAACTTGCGTAATATTTATATAAAAATTTTAATTTATTTTTTTGTTTTTTACAGTCCTCGTTATGGAATTGAAGAAATCATTCGTGAAGCTTTTCATAAAAATCTTGTTAAAGATTTATACAATACTCGAAGAATGTCACAGCCCAGAGATGGTCCGCTCGTCCCAAAAGCAACAATTGATCGACCAAATGCAAATGGACCTTTCTGTTTGTTGAGACGATCTGACGAACATGTTGGTGTTTTTGGCGTTCAGGAAATTGACAGAGCTTATAAAAACAAAGATATTGACGTGTCATTTAAGGTATTTTAATTTTTGTTTATAGAAAAATTGAATTTGATGATAATACTACTCGATCCATGGCTCCTTCTCTATCATCTCTCACTCAGCTTTCTTTTCTATCGCTGACTTGACTAATTATTTATCCAATGTTCTTCAGCTCTATTTTATACTCTATATTCAAGATTCTCTATTCAAGATTCTTATCTCTATTCAAGATTAGGGGTGTTGCCATAATGGAACGAAAAATAAGAATCCTGAATAGTTATCTATTCAAGATTCTTATTTTTCGTTCCATTATGGCAACACCCCTTCCCCCTCAGAAACCCATCACTACTCTTCTGTACTCCAATAAAATTCATTACTTATGGCCAATAGAAACTAATGAATTTTAACTTATTAATTTATTTTAGGTTTTTGTCGTCACTCGTTGTATTGATGAATCTATTTCTTCTGATGTTCGACTTGCTGAACAATTCATTAAAGTCACAAATCAAAAACAAGCACAAAAGGAAATGGAAAAGTTGGAAAAAATGCAACAAAAACATCGAAAATTAATACTTGCACAACAACAACATTTAAATGTAAATAAATCAGGAGGAGAAAATAGCAATGATTTGGCTACTTCATCTTCTGATAATGAGATGCCTTGTTCTTCATCTGATTCAACTGAAGCTTTACTTTCAAAACAACAAAAACAGTTTAATGATGATCCAAGGTTTTTTTTAATTTTAATTCTCTGACTCAACCTCAAAAATTTTTTGGGCGTGTCTTTTTATAAAAAAGGGATATTTCGCGAGGGAGTGTTTTTCATTGTTCTCATTGCTTTCGTCTTTAACCGTAGTACTTTAAGTACAAGTCCACCTAGTGCATCCCTCAGTTCTTTGATGATATTCGCATTTAAACATTCTATCGCCTTCTTATTTCCATTAATCTGTTCCATAAAAATTGATTTTTAATTTTTATTTATTCAGGTTCAATGATCCACACTTTCGAAAATTTTTCTTTCGTCAAAGAGTGACATCACAATCAAGACATCCAAGTGTTCATCAACAGTTAGTTTTCTCTCCTTTTTAAATTTTTTAAAATTTTTTCTTTAGTTGTTCACTTCGTACACCAGATCCTAAAACATGTGCAAAACATGGCTGTATTAGTTCGAATATGAAACATTCAATTGAAGAAATTGAAAAAGAGGAAGAATTTGAAAGATTTGTTCCTGAGGTTTTTAAAATAATTTTTTTTCAATAAAACCCAAAAAAATTTCAGACTGAAGAAACTTTTGAAGATTTTGATTTCTTCCATCCTCGACAACAAACAAGTAGTACAATTCGTGGACCTTCTGATAGTAGTACTCCAGTAATATCTTCTTATGTTCTCCACAATCAAATACCTGAAGAGAATAAAGGATTGCAAGAAGAATCAGACAGACTTCAAATTACTCATCAAGATGTTCCCATAATTGATTTTCAATCAAATGAAGAAGTTAAATCTATCGAGGAGAATTTAATTGAATGTATTTCTTCTACAAAACATTCTCCATGTTCAGTAACTCATGGAAAGGTTTGAAAGAATTTTTTCTCCAACTTTTAAATTGGATTTAAAGGAATCCCAATCAAGTGCTCCAAATTCTTTACTTTCTGAATTAACAGAACCGGAAGTTTATCATCCCTCTGATTGTAGTCTAGCGCCTTCTACAAGTTCTTCTTGCTCTTCTGATGTTTGTTTTCTTTTATATTTAAAGGCTCGTTTATAAGATTGAAACTCTCGGGAAATTTTTTAAGCTTGTTATTCTTTTTCTGGACAACTTTTTAGTTTTGGGTCGTTCAAATCTTCGGTCTGAATTTCCTATAATTAGTGATTTAGGTGATCTAACCTTATTAAATAATTAAATTTCTAGTAAACATTCATTGCCTGATGAAATTACTGATGTTTTTTATCAAATAGAAAATGAATAATGATTAAAAAATATTATTAATATAGCCATTCCAGATGATTTTTTAAAGGAAATTTTAAAAGGGAGTCATACCTCAATTTTTAAAGTTTTTATTTTCACAGACTCTTTCTAGTCAATCTGTTTAGAATTTAAAATTATATATTTGACAATTTTATTTTTTTTTGTTTATATCTTTTATTGTATAATTTTTGCTTTTTTAATGCATTTTTTATCACCTTGAACAAATTTGATTTTACACACAATCATTTCCTTTTCGACTATTTTATGTTGTATACTGATTTAATAAAATCAGGACCTATATTTACTATAAATATCGAATAATTTAAATCGTTTTCCATTAAAAGTAGTCAAAAAACTAAAAAAGTTACTTTTTGGAAAAGCTTAAATAAATTTCGCGTGATTCTACTGTTGATCTGAATCGATTTGTTTTAATTTTTCCAGTTTTGACTAAGCATGCCTGTTGGATTTTTATTTTCAAGTAGTGTTCGGCGATATTTTTGTACATCTTTCGGACGTTTTTCTTTGTTTAGATCAAATTTTGAATTGGTGACAAGGTTAATTTTTATAATAGTGACAAAGTCTAATCAGCGTAATTGGTTTATCATTCATATCAAGGCCAAATCTTAGCTTTTCGGTAATCCGCGAGTTACTACGGTCAGATTTTAGATAATCGCGAAGGAACAGATTTTCCTCGGTTTTGATCATATCTACTATTGATAATTCTCTTTTTTAAAATTCACTTTTACTTTTCTAGGAGGCGTTTGCATACTAGTGTCCAGCATCGAGCTATTAATTGGGTTGTTTTAAACGATGATGGTTATCAAAGTCCACACAGTGCTTTTTATATAGTGTAATTATATTTTTGTTTTCCTCAATTTCTAATTTTGTAGATTGCCAAATGTGCCAGATGAGAATCCACAAAATAATGTATTGTTGGAAAGTTTAGAATCTAATTGTGATTGGCCTCCAATTTCTACAGGATTGCGTATGAAAATTTAAAAGATTTTTTTGTATAATTCTTTAAATTTAAAGCTGATGAATTTTATCAAGGAACTGTTAAATATATTCTTGAAATGAGTGCAACTCTAGCTGAACATGTGGATTTTTTGGAAGAAGGTTTAAATTTTATTTTTTTAAGTTTTTGAGAAAAGACAATTGTCCTCCTAGCCTTTGGTCCACGATTTTTCATTATTTGCTTAGTAAGGGCAGGAGTGTCCCTGTAAGACAGGCACGGCACTTAATTGGCAAAAAATATGGGACACGGAATCAGTCATAAATGTAGAATCAGAACATAAATGTAGGTGCTTCATTTAGGTCTTACCGGGACACTCCTCCTTTTTTTATAAAATCGACAGTAAAGGATTAAATCGACTTATGTAATTTTACTATTGTCTGGATCGGTTATTTGAAGGGAATGACTTCAAAAAATAGTGAGATTTATTCTTACTCTACTTTTGCCAAAATGAATTTAAAACCCAACCGCAAAACTATATTTCCTTTCTAAAATCATTAAGAAAAGTTCCCTCCCTTTAAAAAACAAATAATTAATTTTTCACAAAAATATAATTATTTGTTATCTTTAATCAAAAAAATTTTTTTAAGAATTAAAACAAAAGGATGCTTTATTTACTTTTGACAAAGTTTTATCTCCATTACTCAAAGATGAAGGAAATGGATATTTTGCTCTCTCCTCCGTTCAATTGAAAATGTTAACAGATTGGCCTGAATGTAGTCTTACCGATTGGAAAAAGGATTTTGAGGTTAGTTTTTAAATTTAATTTAAAAATTTTTTTTAATTCTTTAGGCAATTGAAAGATTGTTAGTTAATGAAATGTCTGATAGAGCTCAGCATCAAATTATTGTTGATTCTGTTAGAGTAAGATTTTTTAATTAATATCTTGGTCACTACTGAAGAATGCGGGAATTTTCATGTTGAATTACTTTTTGAATTATTTCTATTTTCCCCGTTTTTATGAAAAAATTTAATCATTTGTTATTAAGTTAGCTCGAAAGACAGAAAAAAAATCCAAAAAAATCCTCAAAATCGCCCATTCTTCGTTTACTATTTCTCAAATCAGGCCCGTAGCCAGGATTTTTTTTCGGGGGGGGGGGGGGGGGGGGACTTTTTCACTTTTTCGGCGCCGCAGGCGCCAAAAATTTGATTTTCAGCGCCGCAGGCGAAAATTTTTTGAAATTTGGAGCTCAAGAAGCCAGATTTCTTCCTTTTTTTAGCGCCGCAGGCGAAAATTTTTAAATTTCAGAGGCCGTAGGCCAAAAAAATTCACTTTTTTTGCCCCAGCCCTTCCCCAAATTTTTCCCTTTTCCTCATTTCGGGGGGGGGGGGGGGAATTCCCCCCCTCACCCCCCCCCTGGCTACGGGCCTGTCTCAAATTTTAAATAATTTCCAAATCTTTTAAATTTTTTAAAGAGAATACCAGAATCAGAGCTGACTAAAATTGATCCATGGCAACGCCGTTTAGTAGAACTACTGAAACTTGAATGGGACATGATTGGGTTTATTTTTTAAAATTATTTTCCTAACTTTTAAAAATATTTTTTATAAAGACTTCAACCTGATCCAAGAAACAATAACTTCCACGCAAAAGAACAAAATTGGACTAAAGGGCTTCTTCATGAGGGTAGAACTCATGGAAAGAGATATTTGTATGTAAATATTTTCTTACTCTTCTTAAACTTTTTAATTCTTCGAATTTGTCCGTGAAAAATTTAGAGGGGAATGACATTAAACTATAATTTTTACAAAAAATTAATTTTGAGTTGTTCCATTCAGCTTGTAGTCAAGGCCTTGTAATCTAACTTTTGAATTGAGTCTCAAGCCTTCGTCCATTCCTCGACAAAATTTTCTTGACTAGTACGTGAGGAAGCCATCCTAAATCAATTTTTTTATTACTTTCTAAATCACTTATTAAAATTTTCTTTTTTAGAACAAGTCTTTTACTTGATCCAAGATACGCAAATGTTCAAGTTATGATAAAAGATCGTAATCAACTTAAACACGTTCCTCCCAAAATTTTAAAAAAGCTTTCTGTTGGGTTTGTTTTTTAATCTTTTTAAATAGAAAGCAATTTCTTTTTAAAGAAATGATCCAGAAAAGGGTCCTTGGAAAGCAAGTACAGATGATTCTTCAATGTTTGATTTATTAAAATATTCAAATGCTCGAGAACAGAAGAAGGAACTTTGGGATTCTTGGATTGCTAGATCGGTAAATATTGTTTAAAAATTTTATGATTTTCCTAGGGTTTTTTCTAATCCTAGAAGGTTTTACTTTCCTTCGAAATTTTATTACTTACAGAAAGGATATAAATAAAAATTAATGTTGACACATGCTGCACCGTTTTCTAGTTCATATTCCACTATTTTTATTCAGACATAATCCTTTTGGGCATAATTGAAAGTAAGCCGGACGCTTCCTAAATCGAAGGAAAATCGAAAATTAACATTTCCTGCGTCTTTATTCTTTTCATCATTTTTATTATTAATGGCATAATTTTTTAATTTCAGTCTTTTGCTTCAAATGATCATCTTTTTAATAATTCATTAACTATTGAAGAATTACGAAGTATTTAGTATGTAAATTTGTTTAATTTTTTAAATTTTCAATAATTTTTAAGTGAACGACTTTCACAACATATTGGCTTTCGATCAACTGCTCACCACCAACTTTCTACAAAAATGATTGGAAATCCCGAAACTTTGAGGGATTTTATTGCTGGGTAATTTTTATGTTTTATTTAAAAGATTTTTATTTCGAGTAAAAATTTCAATAATAAGAAGCACGAAAACTTCAAATCGCCCAAATTTAATCTGCAAGCTTTATTTACAAATTTATTTGTAATGTTCCTTGGTTTAATTTTTTTGCTTTAATGTTACGCATAAAATTATAATTTGCTGTACTGGGTATTTGGCATTTGTTAGCTCTGGGTTTTTAAAATCTTAGCTCCTTTTTAAAATCTAGCCAGCTCTGGAGCTAGCTCACGGAGCCATACCTAGCATTGATAAGTTGCCTATTTAATTAAAATGAATTTGAGGATATTTTGGTTCTTTATTAATTAATTTTTGAAATTAAAATTTATACAGAGAAAGCCAACTTTTTCATAAAAAATTTCATTTTTTTATTTTTAGTCTTTACCATCGTTTACGTCCAGTACTTATTGAACGTTATGGACAATGGTGTAAATATGCAGAAAAAGAAGAGGGTATAGAAACCTTTGGACAGTTACGTACTTCCGATCTTTTTTATATTTGTAGAAGAGAAGCTGAACATTTTCATGGGTTTTTTTTAATTTTTGAATTATATGATTTTTTAACTTTTTCTAGTGTTGATACTCTTGATTTAATGAATCATTTTCCTGTTTGGCCAACTTTTGAGAAAATTTTGACTGTTGTTCAATTTGTTCTTGGCATTGAATTTAAGGTTTATTTTGATTTATACGATTATTTGGGATGTAAACCACATTCCTAAACCACGGGTTTAAACCACGGATACTCGTTGCATCCGTTTCATCAATCCTAATTAATATTTTTGAAATAATGAGATAGATTCTCTTTGTGGGTAGATTTTTGTGGTTCTAAAGACATCTTAAAATATTATCGAACACCACAGTGTATTTTCTTGTGAGGCCATATTACAATCCTGTCTTCCTTTAAAAAATAGATTTTGTTTGCTTTCAAACAATATTCTTAAAGTCAATTCATTTTGTTGAAGGATGAGTAGATGTTTCAGGAATTTATCATAAACTTATTTTTATTATTTTAATTTTGTTTAAAATTTTAAAGGAGATATTAGATGATTCCTTAGAACGTTGTCATCCTTCTGTTCGAATATATGAAGTTATTGACAGAACCACAAGTAAATTTTATTTTAATTTTTTAAAAATTTTTTCCATTTTTTAAAGATGAATATCTTGGTCGTTTTTATCTTGATGCTTTTGCTAGAGACGGAAAAGTTGATAAAGGGTGGATAGCAAATATATGGAGATGTATATTTTAATTATTTTTAAATTAATTAAATTTCGAATTTTTTAAAGTAAAAGATGAGAATAAAGGATTGGATAAATTAGTTTGGTTGGTTGGGAATATTAAAGAAGAGGATGAAGTGTTACATTATGAAGAATTGGAAGATCTTCTTGAAAATGTAAGGATTTTTTTTTAATTTTTGCAAGTGCTGGTGTAATTCCTGTTCTGCTGACTTTTCACTATTCTTACATGGGTTGTTCGATCGAAAAGGTTTACAAACTTTTTTTAGAAAAGGAAAAATCTTCAAATTTATCAACCGGTACGGCCGGTTCTCGGTTAATCCACTAATTAAAAACCCTGTTTTCAGTTTTAAGTTCCAGTCAAATACCAGTTTTATTTTAAGGGAATTTTTAATTAAAATTTTATAAATTCGGTTAATTTTTGGCAAAAAATATCAGAAATTCCGGTTTTAAAACAGGTCGTGTCCAACCCTAATACTAAAATAAGCATTAGGCCTGAAAGTTTTTTAAAAATATTTTCTTTATTCTCTTTTAGGTAGGCATTCTTGTCCATGCTTTGTTAACTCGTTCTCCTTACATGCATTTATCTAGACCACACGCAATGTATAGTCAAGAATGGGATGCTAGAGATTTTCTAAAAATATTTTTTAAATTTTTTATTTCCAAACCTGAATTGATTCTTTCAATGAGTAGTCCACATTTGGTAAAAAATTTAAAAAAAAATTTTTTTTATTTTTGTCTTTCAGAAAAATGGTCATCTTTTAACTTTACAAAAAGCTCAAGATATTTCCCTAGCATTGGCAAGAGGAAAATTTTGGGATACTTGGAGAACTTTGTTCTGGGCAGATTATGACCTTTCATTATTTGAACTGGAAAAATTTCAGTTAGAAGAAATTTTTTTGAATTTTTAAATTTTTAAAAACAATTTTTTTAGAGATAAATATTATTTGGATCTTTACAAAGAAATTTATGCTGAATATTTTCCATTCCCTATTGAACATAACAACTTCCATCCATGCTCTTTTATACCTATTTTTGTGCCACATTCAAATGCTTGTATGTATTACAGAAAATTGTGGTGTGAGGTTTGTTGAAATTTTCTTTGATAAATTTTATTGGATATTTTTTTATTAACTTTATTATTAAAAAAGAAGGAAAATTTGGGATAATATGTACTAGTATAAGGGATTTGATGGTAAATTGCCAAAAGGTTTTTTAATCAGCATTGTGCACTCGCAAACTTTTTTTTATAAAGTCTTAATGGGGATGGTCATCTAAACTTTATAAAACTGGGTGGATCGGCCCGGGTTCCTTTTTCTATACCTAGCGCCCTGGATCCGGCCTAGTTCATTGGATCCACAAATTTATACAGACCCAATATTGGTCTACTAACTACAACATCAGAGATAATGGTTCGTCCACATCACTAATAACTATTTTTATTTAAAAAATATTTCTACGGACAAAAACTCCAATTATCTACCAATAAATATCTTCAACACTAAAAAGAAAATCTTTTTATTTTTAGGCATTAGCATTAGATGTACATCAAACTTTTGATAATGAAGGGGACAATTTATCAACAGCAAACAGATTAAAACAAGTTTGGCTAAATAATGGATCTTTAAAATCACAATGGGAAATGTATACACAATTTCAGGTTATTTTTTAGAAAATTTTTAAAAAATTTATTTTTTTAATTTTTAGGGACGTGAACCAAATATACTGGCTATCAGTAATTTTTATGACCCAATTTTAAGTCCTTTAATTAATGAAGAAAAGAAGTATGCTTTAGGTTGTTGATTTTGTTTTTACTATTTTTAGATCATTTTTTGAATAAAAAAATTTGTTTTAATGAGGGAAGAGTGTATTTCTTATTAGGTAGTTTAATTTTCTAGATTTACTTCCTTTTTAATGGATATCTTTAATTTTTTTCAAAAAATCAAGTATAATCTTAGGAATTTCTAAATATGGTTTGAAGAACTTTAGGAAATTCCTCGGATATCCGAAACCGGAACAAAAAAATCCCGTTTTCTCAAACTGAACCCTAGTTTTCAAGATTAGCTTGAGAATTTAGCTCTTGAATTTTGCAGAAAAAATCTTAAAAAGCAATGATGGAATTGTTCATAATTTTTGAAGCTTAAATTAAGCTATTGAAAAGCGGAAAGTAAAAATGCACAAATTTCTTCTGTATAAAATAAAAATTGTACCTTAGAAATAAAATAGAGTAAAATAATCAAAATATTTATTGGCTTTAAAAGACAAAAAGAACAATTAAACATTTTTCCGTTGCCAAATAATTAAATGAACAATTTTGTTTGAAGTCGAGAAGAATTCGAGATCTTATAGCTTCACTGGATCGTTTGAATAAGAGTTATGTTATCGCCCTTAAAATTAAATTTGTAAAAATGTTTATTAAATTCCGAAAAAACCTTGAGCAAGATCCGTCCCAATTTGTGACGATTGAGTGACTTCATGTTAACCTCTTCAGCTTCGTCGACGACGACATTCATGTATTCATCGAAACCTGAAAAGTAGTGGCTCTTTACTTTTATTAAAAATTTTAGAAAAATGATGCTCTTAGAACCTTGTTTTCCTAGAAAAATCAATGCAAAAATCGACCCTACATGTGTAACTGAAAAATTTATGACCTACAAATACATCATTAATAACCGAAATATAGAGTATTTAAGACTGATTTTTAAAGATACGAAGTTGGATACTTATGTTAGACAATAAAAACATTTGTTTGTCCTACCTACCCAAAACAAATTAACCATTATATAAAAAACAAACCAATAATATATCCTTCAATGCGATAAGTAACATTCTCGTAAAGCCAAATCAGAATGCGAGAACGACTTTGCAAGCAACGAAAGATTAAATTGATGGGTTGAACCATCACCTTTTGAACTTTGTTCGACGGCGGAGCCATTTTTAAATTTTTAAGATTTTTGTTTTTCTCTAAAAATGTGAAAAAAATATTAAAGAATATAAAATGTGTGTTGAACAAATGAAATTAAATTTGTCAAAAAAAATGTAAAAATTTACAACAAGGAAAACATTAATAAAATCAAGTCATAGAAAAATTGGATAAATAAACCTAAATGCTCAAAAATCAAGAAAACTTTCTCTAAAAATTTATAAAAAAATCAGCTTCCTTTTAAAATAATTGACTAAAGAAAAGGATTGGCGAAACGTTTAAATTTTGTATAAATCTGTTCCAAACTCCTTCCTTTATACACTCTCTCTACCATGATTAAATATAAAGACGCGGACGATTTGGCGCGGGCCGCAATTTATAAAAAGTATTGTGTATTATTCGGGATTAAGAACTAAGGCTAAATCATATCTAGATTCTTAACTTTAAATAATTTAAATTTTTTGAGGGTTCTCCAGTCCAAACCTACACCCTCTAAAATTTTGTGATTTATACATTTTAAAATGTATGTCAGACTTTTAAGCAAAAAATATTTCCTTAATCTTGTTTGAATTTTAGCCAGTTATGTATAAAAATCTGGCTACTCCTAAGCCTCTTTCGAAACAAATTAAACCTCCGATGATTTTATTGAAAAATTAAATAAAATATCTTTTATTTCACTAAAATAAATTAAAACAAACAAAAAAATTATTTAAAAAAACTAACAAAAAGTCAAAAATAAAAGCCAAAAATTTTTTGAGGAATTTTTGAGAAAAAATTTTTGAGGCTATAATATTTGCATTAAAAAATAGAATTAATGAGAATATATTTTTTTGTTGGAAACATTTTAAAAAATAATTTATGTAAATTGAAATAATTTATATTTTAGAAAAATATAGACATATGAAAATTAGATTTAATGCCCTTTTTAAAAATCATTTTAAAATTAAAGAAAAAAATTTTAGGAATGTTGAAATTTAGGATTTTTATAAATTTAAAATGATTTTTTGTATAAATACTTTAAAGAAATATAGAAAATGAGTCTCATATTTAAAAGAAATTAAGTGTATAAACAGTCAAAAATAGAGTTTTTATTAAAAAAAAGCATAAGAGAATCAATGCCCTTTGAAAGAATCGTTTTAAATAAAAAAGAATTTTTTTTGAGAGAGATGTCTTTTGAGAGAATGTATATAAATGTATATTTATGATTTTTAATTTTTTGTATAGATATTTTTAAAAAAATATATAGAAAATGAGTCTCATAATATTTAAAATCATTTGAAAGATAAAATTAAGTCTAACAATAAATAGTCAAATAAAATTGAGCTTATTTTTGATTTTTTAAAGAAAATTTGTATTCAAAATAACCCATCAATAACCCAAACAACTAAAAAGCCTCAAGTCCAAAAATCCCAACAAAACAAACTAACGAGCAACCTTTTTTGAAGATGAAGGAGCTAACGGATCATCATCCAATTCCTCCTGTTCAGGTTCTTCACCACCTTTACTTTTCTGATCCCCTTCTTCAGCCTCTCTTTGACGTTTCTTGGCTTTTACAGCCTCTATGTGTGGTCGATGACCAAAATGTTGTTTAAAACTTTTTTGAGTAGCATACGAACCTCCACAATCCTTGCATTTGATTGGGCTGTTGTTTGGCTTAGATGGATTACTTTTGCTTCTCGTCAACGTTTCCTTGACTAAAATTTATTAAATTAATTTTAAAATTTTTTTCTATAAAAGGACCAATATAAAGCTAAAAATGGGAGAATCTATTTCAGTAAAAACTAAAAAAACCAAAAAAACAGATTTAGTTTTTAAATCTGAAGTGTGAATTAGGTCAAAAAAAATAAGTTTACACCCTGGAATTAAGTACTCGGCCGCAAAGTTTTTATGACAACAGAAGTATAATTTTTATACAAGTAAAATCGATAAAGGATATGAACCTCAATGCGAAAGAAAGGAACTTTCCTGTGTAATAAACCTATAAAAAAGGAAAACTCAACGGCCGCGCAACGCAACTTTTTGGCCTCATTTAATTCATTAAATAAAAACCTGAATCAGTTTCCTCATAAGGCGGCATACTGAAGAAATTACGGACTTCAGCAATCATCTCCTTGTCTAAACTACCTTGTTGTTCCAATTGTTGGGCCTGCTTCTTAACCCACTTCAAAAGTTGCTTGTTTTTTTTATTTTGTGATTCAATGTGATGAAGTGCTTTTAATAAAAGTGGGCGAGAGTCACGATCTATCAGCGTTTTGAGAAGATCTGCTGCACCAGTCGACACAATTAATTCGTTTACAGACTGATAAAATTTAAAAAAAGAATTTTTAGATAAATTTTGTTTAACAAATAAATTACATCTTGTGCCTGCTGTCCCAGTTGTTTTTGTTCGGACATTAAAATAAGCTTTAAAAGTTTAAATCAAATAAAGGTCTAAAAAATTCAGTTAATTATTAAAAAGTTATTTATTGATTTTAGATGGAAACAAAGTTTGCAAAAAATAAGAATACAAAGAGGAATGAATGTCTTCATCAGTCAATCTTTTTTAGGGCATATTTTCTTTTCACAACTTTTCTCAGTTAGGGTCAGTTGAGCGCCGCAACTATCAACTAACTATGAGAGCCGAACAACTGAGTGCAGGCAAACTGGACGCAGGGCCAAATAAGCGCAAGACACAAAAGGGCAAACTAGATGCCGTTCACGGCGGGTCCACCCTGTTGAGAGTTGTTTAACCCGTAACTATTTTATTGTATCGATCATTTAAACAACCCCGGGTTCGGGTTAAATAACCCGATCATTTAACTCTCTCTGGGTTTTATTTTATTGTGCTTCCTGACATCCTGTCAGTTTTTGGTTAAATCTTGTTTTGAGTTCTGATGGAATTTAGGACAGAAAAATACTAGATTGCATTTACTACTTACATATTTTAATTTTATTTTAACAGATTAATAATTTTCTACCTTCATTTTTCTAAAGCTTTCTCCTACAAGAGAATAAACAATTCCAGAAGAGGTTAAAATATTTTTAGCAACTTTATGCCAATATTTTATGAGTCCACCTTCTTCCATGTTTTTGAAGATTACAACTTGCCTAATTAAAAATTATTTTTAGGTTTAAAACTGTTAAAAATCTAAAGATTGATTAACATTCAGAAGTGCTTTGCAACAGCACAAGCTGTCTTGTTATTTATCAACCTTGGATATTTTTTTAAATTTTTTTTCTTGAAAATTATTTTTGGGGTGGTCTATTTTCAATTTTTGTTCAAAATATACATCCGTTCCTATTTATTGTCAATATTTTGAAGTTGACCTCCTTGGGGAGGACCCCAATAAGGAAAATAATAATTTGAAAAATTCAAATTTTATTTAAAGATTTTGCAATTACTACATATAATTCCTCAAAAATGCAGGATTATCCATTCATTCAAAAAAGCGACCCTCAATTGGAGTGGTGTAACATTCGAATGGAAAAGGTCCTTTAATTAGAATAAATACGCTAAATTACATACTTAAGTTTCTTTTTAAGTTCATCCATACTCTTGATACTCGAAGGCAGAGAGAGCGGTTCATAAATTTCTTTCCACAAATGTCTTGAAGACGTTTTTAATTCTTTTAATGAAACATTGGATGATTTGAATACATCACTAAGCAATTCAATCGGAATAACATCATTTCTTTGTTTTCTCGAGTTTATTTTTATATTATTATTTTGTTGTTGTTGTTCCATTTTGTTGTCCTATATTTTTTAGGAAGATTTTAAAGAAATTTAAAATTTGAAGATTCTTGGCCTAAAATAATACACATCAGGGCTGGATTTTCTTCCGCTTCTGATTACGTCTTTTGTCGAATTCCGTCTTTTTTGGGTCTTCCGCTTCAGTTTTTTATTTTCTTCCGTTTTTTCCGCTTTCCGCTTTTTAAAATTCAAAATTCTCCAGCCCTAATACACAAATATAACGCATAGTTTTATTCTTATATTTTTACTTGCTAGTATGTACATATATTGGGAATCAATAATTGTTCTCCTTCACTATTAATTCAATCCAGAATGTCACCTACCGTATATATTTTTTCTTATTTTTTCTACAGTATTTATGAAATATAAAAAATTTGTATAAAATTAATTTTTTATAAATTCTTTGCAGATTTTTTTTATATTTTTTATAAATAGTTTGGGTAGAAAACGAAATTTTTTTGATATCATTCGATGCCTTAATTTGACATCAACTTGCTTAATTTATTATTTTTCTTGCCTTCTTTTAAATTTTCTCATCAGCTTTTAAAAATGATTTTAAGTAAATTTTTGGCAGGAAAATTGGGTTTTAAACTTTGCCCAGCAGAATGTTATGAATTAAGGCAGGTTATAAATTTAAAAATAATTTTTTCTTAATTTTAAAACAACTTTTAGTCATACCTGGAATCCAAATTGTTTGTTGGCTATTTATGATGCTTTATTGCCTAGTACATTATTCTCTCTAAAAACTTATGGAGTTTTATATTTTGTAAATTTTAAAATTTTTATTAATTTTTCGGTAATATTGAACCTGACAGACCTTCTTTTTCCCCAAGTTTCTTCCTATATATTGGTCAGACTTCTTCTTTCAATTTTCCTTGCATCCAAGGGGGAATAAAATTAATTCCTTTTGATTGTTTGTAGGCAAAATACAGAAAGGTAATTGGGATGGAAGAAAAGTGAAAGTCTGACTAGGGTTGTCGGTTCTTGGAAAATCTTCGGATATCCGGAACCGAACCGATATCCCAACCGAAAAATCATCGGTTCTTCGGTTTGGTTCGGTCCAGAACCGACAACCCTAAGTCCGACCATTTTTTAGATATATATAGAGAAAAACTTGGGGAGGAAGAAATTGGATCTGTCAGGTTCAATATTTCCATTTTTTTCAATTTTTTTAGTTAAAATCTTTAATCGACAAAAGGGGGAAAATAAACAAAATTGAATGGAAAAATTTTGTTTTCAAAACAATTCGTTCCTCTTTATTTATTGTCTGCACTTGTATTCTTTTTATGTTATGGTTTTGCACTTTTAGACGTTTTCTTGGTTTTGTTACTTGGCCAACACTTTCTTTTTTGAATGGATTTGCTACTTGTTTAGTTACTGTTTGGATTGAAACTAAGCAAAGGAGGGCTTTGCTTCTTCCTTATCTCCTCAATTTGGTTAGTTTTTAAATTTTTCTTTTTGAAATTTTTCACATTTTTGGAATTATTTTTATAATAAATTTAAAATATTTTTAAAGTTTTAGATAGAGTTGTTCACTCTCGGGGACACCTCTGTTTAATTTATTTTTCGATTTTTAAAATTCCATAGAAACATATAAAATTTTACAAGAAATATCAAAAACTTCGGTTTTAAAACTGGTCGTGAACATCCCTAGTTTTAACATTCCCAAAAAATATTTTCAACTACATACGCTCTTCCTATAATCATGAAAACTTTTGCTTGAATAGATTTTATTCTTTTTTTCTCTAAAATTTTTTAAAATAAAATTTAATTAAATTTATTTTTCTTTTTATGCCTCCGAAGCATTATTTCGTCAAGCGGAACAACGCAAATTAATTTATCCAATTAATTTTTTCGAATCAATTTTATTTGGATTTTCAACTGGTGCAATTTCTTTAATTATTTCAAAAAATAATTTTGGTTCTTTTAATTCTGAATATTCTTCTAAATTGTCAAAATCTTCAAATTTTCTTCAAAAATTATTGAAATATAGTCATGGCCTTTTACCTGAAGAAGAAATTGGTTGTTGGAAGAGATTTAAACGAGCAATAAAGGTTTTTAAAAATTCCAATATTTTTTTTTGTTAAAATTGAAACTGTGGAAAGATCCTGACAAAAAAATGACATACATGTTCCATTGAGTTTCGAAATTTTAGAAATCTGACAGGATTTTTAAAAGACGATACCGAAGAAAAGTATCGATTTGTTGCTTTTGTTAGTACTGGTGTGCAGAACCAAACACTAATAACAAGGATTGTCGGTTATTGGGAAACCTTTGAATCTCGGGAAACGACATTGAATTCCTAATTCTTTGGTTCGGTTCCGAACCGTTATTAATTATCTTTTTTTCCTTAAGTATTTTCTTCTTAAATTTTCAATTTATATATTTTTTAGTTATCAACAAGAAATTTTGCTGCATCTTTTACTTTATTAAATATTTACAAATTATTTAACAAAAAACAAAATACATTAAAATTTCCTCTTTTTTTTACTTCAATGCCTTTAGTTTTTGAGGTTTTTTTTATTTTTTAAATTTTATAAGAATTATTTTTTTAAAGTTTTTTACTTCAATTACTCGCCCCATTAATTTTTTAAATCAAAAACAATTCTTATTTATTGCTCTGAGTTCTTTTCTTTCAATGACTATATTTTGGCAAAACAACACTTTGGCATTATACGCATTTTGGAAAATGATTGAGGTTTTTTTTAATTTTTTTATTAATATTTGAGTTGATTTAATTAAAATTTTGACAAACATTTAGTACCTTGTTTACATAAAAAACGTTTTGGGACTTAGAAAATAACTGAAAAAGAGGATAATTTTATCTCTTTATTTTCGATGTTGATTTTTTGATTGAAAATTGCAGAGCTTTTTATGTAAATATTGAAGAGGGTGTTTTGTTCTTTTAACATTCCGTATACTTTTATGTATTTGCCTAATTTTTAAACATTCTAAAAATTTGAGAGCTCGTTGGAGTATTATAATTTTTGAAAATTTAAATGGGTTCGCTTAAAATATTATCAAATAATTTTACAAAGACTAAATTAATTTGTTTTTTTCTTCTTTAATTTAAATGCTCTTTCTAATCTTTTTAATAATTAAAAAGATTATACTTCTTTTTAGAACCTTCTTTTGTATAAACTCTTTAAAGTAGGGTAGCATCCTGAGCCTTCAGGGTTCGGGTCTTGTTTTTGCTAAAAAATAGTCGGTTTCGAGGGACGGGTTGATGCCCTACTTTAAATTTTAATTTATTTTTATTTTTTTTCTAGTTAATTTATTACAAATTAATTTGTTCAAATAATTTACCAATAATTCCTGGTGGAGATGTGCTTCTTTTCTGTACACTTTCTAGTTATCTTTTAGGCCTAGCTGTTTTAGAGCCTCATTTACTTCGTCGAAATTATTACAAATTTTTATGTTCAGCGACGGGAAACAAGTTTTTTTGAATTTTTTTTTATTTTTTTAAATTATTTTTTGGCAGACTTCAACTCTTCAATAGACCTTTAATTGAAGCTTTCTTTGGTTTTAATTCTTCAAAATTATACAAAAATTATTGGCCAAAATTGGAACCAAAATTGTTAACAATTAATCCGGCTTTTTATTGTTTAAAGGCTCAACAGTTTCATTTATCTTAATTTATTTTTAATTTATTTTTTATTTTTTTTGTTGCTCAAAAATAGAATTTTTATTATTTAGAATAGTAGACTTTGGGTACGGATATATGTGTGTTATAAAATTTATTGGGATTAAAGAGGGGTTCGAATCCTTATTTTGGATAATTTTTCATTAATTTTTAAAACGAGAAATATATTTTTATGAAGATTTTTATTTTGTTTTTTATGGGAAAATTATTTATTAAATAAATAAAATCAAAGCTTATACACATATATCTCACCTGTTATCATTTTTAGGATAAATAAAATTATTTCTAATTTTGTATATTTCAAATTTTTAGTTTAATTTAACTAAATTTAGATTTTCTGTATTTTTATTTTTTTTTAATATTGGCCATATTTTTAAAATTAAAATAAAAAGTATTTCAAAATTAATTTTTCTTTATTTTGTTTCTTTAAATTGTTTATTAACAAAAATTTTTTAAAATTATTCTTTAAAAATTTTTTTTATATTTTTATTATTTTTAAATTTAATACAAAGAATGTCTTCATCTTTATTAGCAACAAGAAGTAAACAACGACAAGAAATTGAAGAAATTTCTCAAAATCCAAATTTAATAAAGGATTTAAAAATTGTTTGGAATTTATTTTTAATTTAATTTTAAATATTTAGTTACCACAAAATTATTCTTTTGAAATTCCAAAAACTATATGGAAAATTAAAAGTACACAAAGCAAAACTGGTCAGTGACTAATTCTTTTTCTAATTTAAGATAAATTTTCCACTTGTACCTTTAGGCTGACAAACGAACCTTAAAATTGACCAAAATTTTTTGACCAAAAAATCGTTATAAACCATTTGTCAGCCTAAAGGTACAAGTGGGAAATTTTATTTAAATTTTTTACAATTTTATTTTTAAGTTGCTCTCCAAATGCCCGAAGGATTAACAATGTTTGCCTGTTTAATTGCAGATATTTTAGAAAAATATACTCAAAATGTTGAATTTATAATTTTGGGGGATGTTACTTATGGAGCTTGTTGTGTAGATGATTATACGGCTAGGGCTTTGGGCTGTGATTTGCTTGTACATTATGCACATAGTTGTTTGGTTAGTTTAGAAATTTGGGGGTTTTTAAAGAAATGAGTTGGTCAGTCACTACAACAGAAAATTTGTAAACGAAGAGAAAAATTAAAATGAAATTTTTCCCGAAAGATTTTCTTTTAATTATTTTTGAGATTCTAAATTAACCAACAACGGGAATTACTCCAAAATAAAATTTTTATTCCTTCGTATTAGTGTACGGGCAAGTGAGTTTTTTTGATACCATTACTTGTAGTACTGAACATTACCGAGTTGCTCTCAAACTCGGAGAGCTGGATGTTGCTCTCATTACGTTGCTCTCCAACATAAATTTTTGTTTTATTGGGGAAAAATAAGGGGGTTTTTGGAGGACTTCTTTTTATTCTCTAGAAACAACTAACAAGCTTAAGATTATATTTTTATTTATTTTGTGACTCTTTATTAAACAAAAATTTTATAAAAAAATAATTTCTCTTTTTTTAAAGGTCCCAATTCAACACACAATTGGAATTCATTTACTTTATGTTTTTGTCAATATAGATATACAAATAACACATTTTTATGATACAATAAAACAAAATTTTAATTCAAACAAAAATTCTTTAAAAATTGCTTTAGTTAGCACAATACAATTTATTGCTTCTTTACAAGTGATTTTTAATTAATAATAAATAATTAATTTAAAAGGCAGCCAAAAAACAATTAGAAAAGGATGGCTTTCAAATAATTATACCTCAAGCTAATCCTCTTAGTCCTGGAGAACTTTTGGGGTGTACATCGCCTAAATTGCCTGATGATGTTTCTGCTATAATGTGAGGAAGGATTTATTTTTAAATAATAATAGAGTGAAGATTTTGGAGTCTTCGGGAGTTAAAATAATGCTTTTACTGGTTGAATTGGGGAAGGAGGGGGGTTGCCTTAATTATGTGAGGACTAACCGTCGGACTCTCATATCATTCCGAAAGATTAAGTTTAAAAAAGATTTCCTTCAATTTATTTACATACTCCTAGCTTCAGTTGTCTCAATTAAACTTATGATAAATTGGATAGGATAGTCCTGAGATAAACTAAATCCTGAGACAAAATTGAGGTAATGAGATGAGAAGGAAAATACCCAATATTATTTCTGACCGTAGATAATTTATAAAAAATTATTTTTATTTTTTTTAAAGTTATCTGGGTGATGGCCGTTTCCATTTAGAATCAATAATGATTCACAATCCCAAAATCCCAGCATATCAATATAATCCTTATTCACATGAATTTACTATTGAAAAATATGGTTTTGAAATGTTACTTTCAAATAGACAAAAAGCTATTGAAATTGCTAGAAAATCAAAAAGAATTGGTTTAATTCTTGGAACTTTGGGGAGACAGGGAAATATAAAAATATTTGAGGTAATTTATGGAATTAATTATATACGGAAAAGAAAGGGAGGAGAAGCTTTTAATGAAATTATAATTTTGTGGAAGAAAAAGGAAAGAAATTTTGATATTTTTCTTTGAATGATAACCCTTGGAGTAATTATTAATTGTCTCAACCATTTACTAGAAGGGTAATCGTCTGATAATGAGATTAACTGAGATAATAATAACAAATTTTGACATAAAATTAGGGAAATTTTGGTAATAAAAAAGTAATATACAAGATTCAAAAATTTCATAGGAATGGAGAGAAGAATTTTCTAATAACTGGGATTGAGTTTAGGAGGGTCTACGAAAAATACATATCAATTGTTAAAGTGAAGGGACCTCTCACCTATTTACTAATTTTTTACAAGAAAAATAAAGTCGGGATTTTTAACTTAAGGGACAAAAAATACAAGGGTTTCTAGAGGAATTTTAAAATTTTCCCTGTAAAAATTCCAAAGAAATTTTTTGTTTTTACCTTTAAAAATATTTAAATTTAAATCTTTTTCAAGTATATTGAACAACAATTAATAAATAGTGGAAAACAACCAATAAAAATACTTTTATCTGAAATATTTGGATCTATATTAGATAAATTTAATTCAATAGATTGGTAATTTTTAATTAAATAATTTTCAAAAAATTAATTTTCTAGTTGGGTCCAAATAGCCTGTCCAAGACTTTCAATAGATTGGGGGCACACATTTAAATTACCTTTATTAACTCCTTTTGAAATGTCTACAGCAATTTTATCAAATAATAATTTAATTAAATTAAATGATTATCCAATGGATTATTATGCAAATGAAAGTAGAGGGCCGTGGACAAATAATCATGAAAATTATAGACAAAATAGGAAAAAGAAAATTGAACATATTTCTCTTATTAAATGTTAAAAGATTTTTTAAGAGGGAAATAAATTTTGTTTCTTGTTTTTGGAGCTTTAAAAGACAATTTAAAAATTTACTACTATAAAAACCCATCAAAATTCCTTAAATCCAACCATTGTAAATTCCTAAAACACCACGTTTTTTACGCTTAAAACAACAGCAACACTTCATGCTCGACCGTTGCCTTCTTCCATTGGAGCTCGACACCGGCCCTGGGACAAGTAAATCGACAACGCTGTGCTCCTTGTTGTTGCTGCTGCTCGTCATTGCAACATTCCTTGTGTGTGAAGTGCCTGGACAGATGAAAGAGGAATTCGTCGGAGTTGCCAATCACAAAAAGATTGGAAACAATGTTACGCTTGTCAACTACACCATAATAGCCAACGAGGAAAACTTTAACTCTTTCTTGTACATGCAGCGCTTCCCGAATTCATGTGAGGCTTATATCGACAAAAACTTTATGTAAGTTGGCTTTTTTTGAAGGATTTATTGCAAGTCTAGTAAATTGTTTTCCATTCCAGTGAGTTTAACATCGACGGCAAGACATGCACAATGGACCTGCTTAGCAGGAACAAAAGCAACAACAACAGGATCAAGTTTAAAGCTGGAGTGAGGAACAAAGGAGGTCAGTGCTTTGGAAGTGGAACCAAAGTCCAGGGGAGCTTTAACAACACGTAGGTCTCGAATTCATTAAAAAATTTTATTTCCCACTTTTTAGTATGCCCTTCGTTTACAGCAAAAACAACAAGGATGTCGAAAGGCTCAGCAAAGGTCCACACTATACTCACGAGAGAATATGTAAGAGAAAAGAGGCGTGTGGATTGTGCATGCCGTGGACGATTCTCGAAGTCTCTTGGACCAGGACTGATGATGATTACTATGCGTTCACCCATTTAGGTAGGTAAAATAAAACTCGAACATAAATGCCTATTTTTGTTTTTTCAGTTGGCGAAGTGACTCGCGGCAAGAAGGATAAAACCAAGAGTGAAGGTTCTGAGGATAAGACCATCAATATAGAGATAGAAAGTGGACACAGATTCACGATGAATTTTGGTGGCAACAATTTGACTCATGAGCAAACCTTCGACTCATCTGTATTGCCCTTGATTGTGGACAAAATTAAATGCGTTCCAAGGTCCGCTCCCTTCGTTGCCCCAGAAACTTGGACCATCACAAATGACAATCTGCAAGGTGAACGTCTACTCGTCTTCAGCCTGCTTCCAGCCAGTGCATCTGTTGTGTTCGATGGTAACAGACTTGTGGGTACACCAGCCAGGCAAAAATGTCATCTCTTTGTCCAATTTGTGAGTTTCTTCGCCTATTTTGTGAGCCTCATTAAATTTATTTATTTCAGGAAAGACCAGACTATGAGCTGCTGTTTGTCTCTACTCCACCATCGACAACAACGACGACTACTACTACAACGGAACCAGAGGTTGAAACGTGTGCTCCTTGTGAGTGTCCAACTACATCTTCAGAGACTGCAACAGAAACAACGACTCCAGCTCCTTCAGCTGAAACAAGATCGTCAACTTCGCCTGTCTGGATTTATCTCTTCATTTTTCTACTGGTTGGCTGGATCGTCACAAACGCGGGGTGGATTTACTTCATTAGGAAGAAGGACGAAAATAAGCTAAAGGAAGAGAAAATGGTAATAACTCCTTTTTAGGAAATAAATATGTAAATCCAAATTATTTTTTCAGCCAAGAAGCATTGTAATAACTACAGGAGACTCGGAGTATGGACCGGAAGTTAATACGGCAATTCAAGTGGATGCTGAAAGCGCAGAGACGGCACGGGAAGATGGAAAGTCGACAAGACCAAGAAGTGTTGTGATAACTACAGGAAACTCGGAATATGGACCGAACGTTAATACGGCAATTCAAGTGGGTGCTGAAAGTGCAAAGACGGCTCGGGAAGGTGGAACGTCGGTTACAACTGCAGTGGATGTTGAGCAGGCACAAGGTGCAAAGACGGCACGGGAAGACGAAAAGTCGACTACAGCTGAAGTAGATGTTGGGCAGACACAGGAAGACGATGGGGAAATTGAGGAGGGAGGAGATACTGAGACGGTGACTCCTGTGGAAACCGAGACGCCGGAGCTTGAAGAATAAATGGGGATGTGAGAGAGGGATTAATATTTATATCTAGTGATAATATTGTCTATTGTAAATAAAAAATATATTTTTTGTTTCCTATCTTGTTTATTTTTTAATAGTGATAAATTGTTTGATTTTGCTTATTGTTAGAAATTTAGGAAAAAAATAGGAAAATAGGTTAACCAACTATTCTTAAAACTTTTAAACTTTCCTTCACCTTATGCTGGTCAGCTTTCATCGCTTTTCAACGCTTTGTAAAGAAAGTCGAAAGAATTCATTGTCTTTGAAAATCCCCGACCATTCGTGGTACAACTACTAAAAAGATTAATTGCAATATTCTATAGAAAAATCCTAGATAACCATTGAAGATTACAACTCACTTAAACCTCTAAAAACCCCCAAAATTTTAAAACCAATCCTCTTCCCTATACTGTCCTAAACGTTCAAGTATATGATTGACATGTAAATGAAGATTGTTAAAAAGTAAGTGTGAAAAGGTAAGAAAAGATCCTGCAAAGAATACTAATCTTAACTGAGATATCAAAATTTTCGGTTTCGGAAATCGAAAGAAAAAAATCGTCGGAACTTGGAATTCCGACCGACTTTTGGAATAAAGTCCAACTTATCGTATTAAAATCTCCCCTAACCCGAATATAAATACTGAAAAGAATATCAGAAATATTTTCAAGATTTATTTATCAAAAATAAAATTTAAAAAAAAACAACTTGAAAGGACCGGAATGCTTATTTGCATTTAAATAAATTAAAACAACAAAAAAATCTTTTGAATATTTCCGGTAAAGGCACCCAAAACAAAAAAATTTTTTAAGAGAAAGTTGAGGCAAGAAGTAAAAAAGAATTGCTGAGTGAGATCTCCAAACTTTTTTTCAAATTTTTGATTTTTTTCTTTTTTCAAGTTTGAGTTGAATAAACAATAGTAAAACTGACACCCATTTTAACACAATCTTGCAAATCAGCAAAACCTTTTTAAATAAAAAAATTTCTTTTTTCTCGGTCAGAAATTTATTTCTTACAATTACCAGAATCCGGAAAAAATTATTTTTAAGAAATCTTGGTATTTAGATATTATTCCGATTTTTTTAAAAGTGAGAGAAGGTAACCAGGGTCTTCATCCCCCACTTTCCTCAGAATTACAACCTTTCTAACCCTTTTATTTTCTTCCGTCTTTTACTTTTTAAAATGCACCAGAACTCCTCCTTAAAAGAAACCCAGAATGGAAAAAAACTAAATTAAAATCCCAACGTAAATTTAATAATTTGTAATCTTTTATTTTCCCATTAAATATTTTATTAAATTCAAAATTAAATAAAAATTTACCGCTTTGAGGATCGAGCAAATGCTTAGAAATTTATTTTTTAATTTTTATAAAATATAAAAAAATATTTTTTACATAAATTCCAACAAAGTCAGCAAAACCGCTCCTTCCACGACGACCTAAAGCATTCGAAAAAACAATAGGCTTCCCATTACTTCTGTGAATACAAGCATCAACATCAGTTATATGTTTCATACAAAAAGTGCTGAATTTATAAATTAATTTTTGTAAAAAAAGTTTAAAAAAAGATTTTTTCAGTAGTTGGATTTGAACAATTAACCTTCCAAGAGAAAGTCTAAACTACTGCCAACTAAACCACGGAGACAATAAACTACTCAATAAATTTCTGGTGAAAAATGTTAACTTCAACCACGGAAAATTAAGAAAAAACAAACAAATTGACACGGCATTCCCACTCTTCCGGACAACTTTTTGGCACATAAATACAAAGATAAAGGCCTAACCAATTGTCAACACTGAAAATTTTAATTTTTTCTTAAAAACCCTTCTATAAATAAAACCTCCGTTCGGCACAAAGTTTCCAATGAAAACCACCCAATTGAATAGGTCCAGAATAGATAGCCAAAAGTGTTGGATTTAACGCGAGAATGCGAAATTTCTCCAAAGTAAGTTTAATACAGCCTTGTAACGCTTAAAAAAATAATTTTTTAAAATAAAATTAAAGAATTTAAGATGATAGTTTGGTTGTTGCCTCATATTTTTTTCCTTTTTTATTTTACGTCAAACCAATTTTTGTTTTGAAGTTTGTCCAATAATTAGTTATCGAATGGTTTAAATGATATTTTTTTCTAGCCACGAGTAAAAAACAAAGGGAAATGAAGATCAGAAAAGGAGGGAACCACGGATTTTCAGACTACCCAAGCCCTAAACATGAACCTTTTTCGACCCGATACGAGGAAATTTTTGAGAACCCGACCAGAATTTTTTTCTTGACCCGAGACATTCCTAAAGAGAACCAAACCCAAAAATTTCTTTGCCCAAATAAAAATTAAATTTAAACTAACGCCTAAAACTTTTAATTGCGTGAAGTTTGCGTGTCAATTCATTCTTCTCGGAAGTTAATTTTTTATTTACTCGTTCCATCACTTTACTTCGTAAAAGCAATTCTTCATGTTTTTTAAGTTCTTCAGCATTTTTCTCCAATTGGGAAGCCTCCTCAGACATTTAAAATGGTTAAATTCTTCTCTAAAGAAATATTAATTTTTGCGGACAATTTTTAAAATTTGCGGACAAAAAGCTAATATTTAATTTTAAATGTTTTCAAAGGAAATTTAGAAAGTAAAATGAGTTGAATTTACGAATCTTCAAAAGTTTTTTAATCTTAAATGGCCATAAAACCATGGAAGCTATCCAAAAAAGTTTTTCAGATTCGTAATAAGCTTACTTAAATACCCCTACAAAAAACTGACTTGTTACGAAAAAAAGCTGCAATTTGAATTCTTTAAAACTATAATACCATCATTCTTAGAGGCCAAAATAAAAAAAAAACAATTTTTTGTTTAATTACCCGTAGTAAAAAGTGTCCGCAAAAAAAGAAGTGTCCGCAAAAACTCAATTAATAAAAAAAATAAAAAATACTAGATTAGGGGTATTCAAACCAATAAGAGATTACAAATAATTATTTCTTTAAACAAATTTATTTAAAAATTAAAAAAAAACAGAAAACAACTTTTAATAATTTTTTCATTTTCTTCTTTTGTCATTGTTAAAACCCGAAGCAAAAATATATATTTCTGAACTGTTGTCTCTACTTGCATCAGGTTTTATAAACTTTACTTGATGAAAATAGTCATTCAAATTATTTTTTAATTCACTTCTGTCCTGTCCGTCGAAAATCTGCAAAAAAATTTTTTAAAGAAAAAATTTTTGTGGAGGGAAGGAGAAAATACAAACAGCAAATCTTTTAAAGAAAAATTTGCCTACCTTGCATAGAAATATTCCATCTTTTGCTAAAATTGTTTTCCCGTCAATAATTTCTTTTGTTCCAAAATCTAGTAATGATTTGCATAGTTGAATTATACGGAAATGGTCAACTCTGGAATCTCCTTTTAAAAATTATTTTAAAAAGATTTAAAAAATAAAAAAATAAACCTATAGGATTTGGAGCCATATCACTCAATAATAAATTAACTTGTCTTCCTTGAAGCCTCCGAATAATTTCTGTTTGAGTTGCAGGTTTAAGAAAGTCTGCTTTACAAAGTAAATCAACCCCGTCGATTGGTGAAATTGGCTAAAGAGAAAATTGGGTAATTTTGAATTTATGTTCCCTTTTTTTATTTCTCCCCAATTGCTAGTAAGTCAATCAGAAAAAATTAAACAAGCACGAGAATGGGGAAAACGCAACATTCTTATTGTTAATTCAATAAAGATGTAACTATTTATAGCCATGGGTAAAAAAGGAAAATTGATAAATAAGATAGAAAGTTTAAAATTAACAAAAAAATAAAATTCCCACCAAAAACTTACAAGTAAATCAATTCCCAAAATATAACCATCTTGACTTTCTTGAAAGCTATTCTTGTTAACTTCATTTTGATTTGAAGTTAAAGGATTTAATGGGAAGATTAATTCACTCAGAACTTGACACCACGAACCAGGAGCTAACAAAATGAAAGAAAATTAAGGAGGCATTAAAATATATAAAAACCTGCTCCAACATCAAGTGCAACAAGACCTAAAACAAAAAAATAAATTTTAAGTCATTAATTTAAAAAATCGGAGGTTAAAATTTAAAAACTCTTGACATGGGCTTTATCCGGATATAGACCTTGAATTGGGTCCAGAGTCAGAAATTGGATCCGGAACCAAAATTATTTTCAGAAAAATAATTTCTAAGGTGTCTCCCCAATTCTTCACTTTTACTCAGAATCACGCCCATGTATTTTTCAAATTTCATTAATTTTTATAAAAAGCAACTGACATCAATGCCAAACGAGATCAAGGGTTTATTAAAATTCCCACTGTCTAATGCATTCACATATGCATCAAAAAACCATTTAAAATAAATTTAAAAAATTTACCTGGTTTTATAAAATTAAATTTTTCATTAATTTGCAACAATTTAAATGCACTTCTAGCCCTGTAAGAATGTTCTTTGGCACGGCGCGAATATTGATCATTTGCTTGTCTTTCCAAATAACGCTCAACTTCTTTTCTTTTAGAAAAATATCGAATAAATGAAGTTGAAGGTTGTAATCGAAAATTTAACATTAAAAATTCTAATTTTGAATAATTTAAAAATAAAAGTGTATGCATTTTGTAAAAATTTACACTAGTTTACATTTTGAAATTAAGCAAATTGATATAAATATTTTATATTTATAACAAAATACCAATTTATAAAATGTTAATAAGTACTGAATATTATTTTTTTGTATCTGTTTTTACTAAGTTTTTATTATTTAAAAATCCTTAAAATAAATTTTTAGAAATTCTTATTTTCACAAATGGAGAATTTTAATATTGAATCACTTCTTTCATCAATAGAATCAAAAAAAGTTAATTTAAACTGGGCTAAAGCTAATTATGGACTTGTCGAAAAAATGAGAAGAAAAATAAAAGAAGAGGTTGGAAATTTAAAAGGAATCTTTTATTTTTATATTTTCTAGTCTTCATTTCCTTCCACTTCAAAAAACGATGTCAGTCAGATTATGGATGAACATCGACTAGATAAATTATTTGAAAGCAGATTTGACGCTACAGCCATGAATGATATTGACGTTTAATTTTTTAAATATTTCTAAATTATTTTTTTATATTTTAAGTTAAAACATTTTCAACTTAAATCAATTCTAAATGAACTTAGACAAAATTTTGGTGTTAATATTACTAAAGAAATTATAGATCAACTCATCAAACGATTTTTACATGTATTTATTATTTTTATTTTTTATATATAGTTTGATTTCATAATAAGATCAGGACTGTTTCGAAGCTGAAAAATCTTTGAAATCGAAATTTCGAAGCTCTGAATAAGATACACTCCTCGTGTTTAATAAATTGTATCCTATAATGAACTTAAGGTTAGGACTATACAATGTTAGTGCTTATCGTTTAAGTAGCTTCTTACTCTTAAGTAGCTCCTGCTTCTTTTAAAAAATAGTGTCTAAAAGTGAAATATATGTGTGTCTATAAATGAGGTCCGACAATATTTTTTAAATCTTTCAGGAAAATTCCGAACAATTTCAATCTCATCGAAAAGAAGTTTTTAATTTTTTGATGGAAATTTTGGAAACTCGTCCGCCAATAAATGCATATTATAGATGGGAATGGATATGTATTATACTTTCTGACTTTAGAGAGGCTTATTCCGACATTGATTTGCTTAAAGTTTTGGAAAAATTTTCTAAAGAAATTCTCAAATACTTCAAGTAATTTTTAATTTCTTTTTAAATTTACGGAATTTTCTACGATATTATAATCTCCATTTTCTTATTACTATCCAAATAATTCATCTAATAAAACTAGATTTTTTGTGGTTTATTCTTCCGGCTCATTAGATTGGCTCTTTTTCCTTTAAGCGACATTTTTTTCATTTTGCCCTATTTTCCAAATTCTGTAGCCTTTTCCAAATTTGTTAGATATGTCAAAATTGAGAAAGGTGATAGCTACTCTATTCCATTAATAATTTTTTAAATTTCCTCCAAAATTCATAAAATAAAAATTTTGTTTTTCTAGAAATGACAAACTTCCATTAGAATTTAAACAATTTTTGCTTGCCTTATTGGAATATGATTATGCAGTTTTGTGTGCAAATAATTTAACAACTGTAAAAGATCAATCACATTTATTTCAAGATGTTTCAACCAAAACTTTAAAAATCACAAATAACAAAAAATCTTTGTCTACTTTCAATCAATTACCTACAACACCAAGGAACAACAATGGAATTGAAAAAATGGAAGATTTGGATAATTATCCTTTGGCATATTTAATTTTATGTTTGGTTAACTGTGAAGCTGGTAATTTTCGTGAATTTATTTCAACAAGATTGGAAACTGTTATTGTGCAGGATTTATTGATGCATTTTCATCCTAAAGAGGTTTTTCTAAAAAAATTTTCTTAAGAAACATTTTTAATTTTATCTGAAATGTTTCCCAAATTTCTTCACCAATCTTTACTAAATTTGCTTCTCAAAGTCTAAAATAAAAAAAAATATCTTTGACATTCGAAATTTTTTTGAAATTTTTAAAAAGTTATTTCTCCGGGTTATTTCATGACAAATTAAGATAGCGATCGTGAATTTATTCTTTATGTCGGTTAAATTTTCTCGGATACTGAAACCTCTCAATTATTTTACAGAGGGAACTTATAGTGTTTTTTTTATTTTCTCTTTCTTGAATTTTTAAAATTAATTTAAAAATCTAAAAATTTTTTAAAGTATCCACTTGATTATTGTCGTATTTATGCACGTTTGGTGGGTCTTTTACTGGATATATTACTTTTCGTTGAAAGACAAGGAGATATGAATATTTTTGATGTTGAAAATGATGTTTCTAGAAAATTAAAAAAATTGGTTATAAAAATTAGAAATGAGCATGATTTTGAAGAAATTAAAGGAAAAAATAAAAATGTATTGGAAAAAGATGTTGATTTTGAATGGAGAATGTTTTTACAAATGGCTGGAGTTCCTTGGATTGGGTAATAATTAATTTTATTTTTTTATATAATTTCGGAAAAAATAGTTTTATAACTAAAAGATTTCAATTTTTGGAAATTTTCGATTTTAATTTTTAGTTAAATAAAGGGAAAGAAATTTAAAATATTAGTTTTTAATTTGTGTAACTCTGGGGGTTGTCGGTTAGAGATTTTTTGAGGAGTTGGTTTTAGATAACCAAGGAATTTATTAATTAGAACTAGCAATTAGGGGTGGGGTTTTCGAGTGGCCGACGTTTGAGTCATTTTTATCGGGCCGGCCCGACCGAGTCTTTTTCGGGCCAAAATTCGATGCCCGACTCGGTCTTTCGGACCGGGCCGGCTCGGACCCCCAATCCTGCTAACAATACTCGGTGAGTGAACATAAGGAATTGGTAGAAAGTAATTTAAAAAACTTTTTCTTATAAGATTAATGTTTTTTTTAAATTAAATTTTTAGAGAACTGCCTTTAATGTCAACAATAACTTGTCTAGGAAATGTCAAAATTTTTAATAAAGTATGAAAGGATTTTTAAAATAGTAAGGGAGACTTTTCTAATTTATTGATTATTTCAAATTTAATAAAAAATTAATATGTGGATATTTTTTAAAATTTATTTTTGTTTTTAACAAAAAGTTTTTTTACTTTTCATTTTTTATTTTATTTTTTTTTAAATTTTTAACAGAAGAAATTGAGAACTCCAAAAATAAATTTCTTTTACTTACTACACTTTTTAATAGAAAGAGAGAAATTTATTTTTTTTTCATTTTTTAAAACACATTTTTAACGGAGCATAGTGTGAGAGAATGTTTATTAAAATAATCTAGAAACCGAGACGAAATGTCGACTAAAATATCGCGGTTATCGAGAAAATAAAGATTTCGTTATACGACCCTTACAGCTCGGTCTCTAAAATATTACTCTATTTTCAAAATAAATTATATTTTTCTATCTAAAAATCCCATCAAAGTCCTCTTATTTTATTAAATTTTTGTTTTACTCCGCAAATGTTTGTCCGCAAAATTCTTTTGTTTTCAAGACACATTCTTTAAATAAATTTTCTTTTTGGTTATTGACTGGTATAAATTTCTCTTTTCTCTATTTTTATTTATTCTGACATAAAGCTCTTTTTGTTTCTGCCACATGGCTATTGAAATATATTTTTAGAAAAAAGCTCAAAAACATTCTTTTTATTAAAACATTTCTCTTTATTTATAAAAAAAACAAAAAGATACACACTAAACAAAAATATTAACATCTAATTGATTTGATTTGACATTTAACTATTTATTTCGGAAGTATTTTAAAATGTTATTTTTCTCTTTTAAATTTTTTTTTCATGAGTATTATTCACTTACAAAATTATTTTTTTTAAAAAATAATCGAAAGATTTTTTTCAATATTTTATACACTTCACTCATTATAAAATACCCTCTATATTGTGTATTATTCAATTTAAGATACATCTTTAAAATTTAATTAGTAGCTATTGGGGCACATGGCTGCTGGAACTTATTTTTAGAGAAGGCTCAAAAATATTCCTTTTATTATAAAAAAATTCTTTTTTTTTTAAATTTAACGATTTATTTCGGACGTATTTTAAAATTTAGTAAATATTTCTCCTTTAAACTATTTTATTTTTTTTCACTAGTATGTACATATCATTCACTCACAAGTTATTTAAAAACCGATTCTAATTTTTTTTCCAAATAACGGTCTTTCTCTCAAATATGTACATTTATTTTCTCATTATCTCTTTCAATTTTTTTTTATTTCATAAGTTGCCTACACAATACCCTCTTTACGAGTCTACAATAAAGACGAGCGTGGCACAGGGCAAAAATGACTAATGACCGACGGCGACGGTCGGCCCGACCAAGACTTTTTGGCTCTTGTCCAGTTCATGCGTCCCATGAAGATTTATGCGTCCCAAGAGAATTTATGAGTCCCATAAAAATTTATGCGTCCCAAAAATAATTTATGCGTCCCATATAAATTTATGCGTCCCAAAAATAATTTAAAAACTGGACAAGTCTTCATTGGACGCATAAATTTTCATGGGACGCATGAACTGGACAAGAGCCCTTTTTGGCTCTTGTCCAGTTCATGCGTCCCATGAAGATTTATGGGATATAGTGTAGTTCACCGGAGGTAAAAGTTCGGGACGAGACATATGTCATTCGATTCGTCTCGGCGAGCTGAGTCGAACGGTACCACTCCCAATTTCAGGAAATGATTCTGGACCGAGTTATAGGTCCCGAAAAATCGAAAAACCATAGGGGGGACCAAGCACTTTTTTGGGGTGAAAAATTCGAAAATGCAAATTATACCTCATTCGAAAGAGTCCATCGAGCTGAGTCGAATGACACCAAAATCACCGTGATTGGACAAGATTAGACAAAGTTATGACAAAAAACAAAATACCTAAACCTATGGAGAGGCGGCGAGGCGCTTGTGCAAAACCCCGCGCTTCGCGCGGGGTTTTGCGGCACGCGCCTCGCGGGGAGTCTACGGGCGCTGGGTCTGGGCTCGTAACATAAACCTATTCCTAAATCCCTTGCTCTGGACGTATTTGGGGCCTCCGTAGCAGCGAAAATCTCCACAGATGCCATAGGTAAGGTGCCTGAACAAATGAGCATAACTTTGTCATATCAAGTCAGATTTCATTGATTTTGGTGTCATTCGACTCAGCTCGACGAGCTCTTTCGAATGAGGTATAATTTGCATTTTCGAATTTTTCACCCCAAAAAAGTGCTTGGTCCCCCCTTTGGTTTTTCGATTTTTCGGGACCTATAACTCGGTCCTGAATCATTTCCTGAAATTGGGAGTGGTACCGTTCGACTCAGCTCGCCGAGACGAATCGAATGACATATGTCTCGTCCCGAACTTTTACCTCCGGTGAACTACACTACAGCCGATTTATGCGTCCCAAGAGAATTTATGAGTCCCATAAAAATTTATGCGTCCCAAAAATAATTTATGCGTCCCATATAAATTTATGCGTCCCAAAAATAATTTATGCGTCCCATATAAATTTATGCGTCCCAAAAATTATTTATGCGTCCCATGAAATGAATTGAAAAAATATTCAAATATGATAAATATTCATTATTCCCTAAAATTCCTTTATCAAATCTTAATCCGATAATATCTTTTAAATCCCACTTGATCAATCCAGAACCCATTTTGTCATCCTATATCGATCCCTTTATATCTCCAAAATCCTCTTTTACCCACCAATTAATCGGATTATATCTCTTTAATCCTGAAAAATTTTAGGTTAAAATTTCGGTTAAGCGAGAGCTGTTCGGTTTTGTTTATCGAAGAATCAAGTGAAACCTACAACGCTACTTACATATGTTAGAATAAATAAAATAATTCAATGAGTCTCTTAATATTTTTTCAAATATAGGGGGAAAATATTTTAGGGGGAGTACTAATTCAGGGGGGAGTACTATTTTTTAACCCTCCTCCAAAGGGGAGTATTATTTAAGGGGGGAGTACTAATTCAGGGGGGAGTATTACTTTAGGAAATACCGTATTTGATTAACAAAGCAGTATTATTGATTAACAAAAGATTTTTCAATTTATTTCATGGGACGCATAAATTTTTATGGGACGCATAAATTATTTTTGGGACGCATAAATTATTATGGGACGCATAAACTATTTTTGGGACTCATAAATTTTCATGGGACGCATAAATTTTTATGGGACTCATAAATCTTCATTGGACGCATAAATTTTCATGGGACGCATGAACTGGACAAGAGCCGACTTTTTTCCATGCTCTACACGATGGTATAATTTTTATTTGAAAATTTTTGGTCACAGTTCGATATTGTTCCTTGTGAGTGCTTTTATACTAACCCACACATACCTAACATCTATTAAATAATATATTGCTTCATCCAATTATTCTTTTTTGTGTTATTTAAATTATTAACCAAAATCTTTATTTTCTAGAAAAATTTATTTAAAAAATGGCTACAACAGTCACTACTAGAACAGTCACAACAAGGACGGTCGCAGGGACTGGTCCAAGAATTCGAATGATTCCTATTTGGAGTATTAAATTAATTTCTGCTGTAAGTTGTGAATAAATAAACCTTAATTGGAAATTAATCGACTGTGCGCCAAGTTTATTTTACAACGTAAAATAACGCCAATCTGCGTTTTGTGTTGTAAAAGGATTTTAGCGCACACTCCAAAAAACTAATTTTTCAAAAATTTTTCAAAAATTTTTTTTCAAAAATTTTTCTTAAAGATTATTGGACTTGTAGTTCTCGTTTTAATTTTTATTTTGCGAAATTCAATTTGGCAGTGGTACGTAAATACATTTATTGTGCTCGTCCTGACTTGTGGATTTCTGCTAGGATGGGCACTTCCGCCCGTTCTCAATCGATTTTTGACTTTCTATCGATCGGTTCTTCAATTAAAAAATTTTTTTTAAACAAAAATTAAAATAAAAGGATATGATTACACATTCAATAATTGCTGGACTTTCTGTTTTGTCTTTAATTCTTTGCGTTTTGTTTTTGTTTAGTAATGAACGTTATTCACGTACTGAAGACTATAAAATTATGGTTGGAATTACTATTTGTGAGGAATTTTTTTAAATTAAATTAAAAATTATATGGGAGACACTGGGATAATTTCACAGAAATAATAAATCGCGGAAGGACAATTTACCGAAATTTTTTGTGACTCTTCACCGAAAATACAATTCGCCGAAACCTTCCTTTTCTGGTCTCGAAACAAACGACCATTAGGTTTTGGTTATTTTAAAAATTTGACTGGAATTTCCAAGATTATGTGCATGTAAATTGTTTTATTTATCAAATAAAATAAATAAAAATTAAAATTAATTTAAAGGTATGACAGTAGAAGCAATTGTTTGTTGTATTCTAGTCTCTTGGATTTGCTTTGGGAATTATGCAATTGTGGAGACTCGTTGAATTTTTTTGCTGAAAAAATTTTAAAAGAAATTATTTTTAAAAAATATATAAACATTTCTTTCTAACTTTCACGAAAACATAATTTTAAAAATTTTGTATATTTTTAATCTATCTTTTTTAATATGCCCCTAAATAAAAGCATGATTGGTGTATCAAGTTAAATTAACCACAAATTGATGGGAACAATCTTTATAAATAGAGGCATATTTTTAATATTATTTAAAATAAATTTGCTAGATTTTATTGCATATAATATTTAAATAAGTAGACTGTTTTAGAAAATAATTTAAAAAATTTTTCCGTTAAAGATGTGTGGATTTTCTGGTTATGCCAACAAAAAAATCCGCAATTTTTATCTGCATTTATAATTCCCTCTAATTTTCTATTTAATGGCAACAATAAAGAAAATGTCAGAATAAATGGGATATTTTGCTTCTCCAAATAATCCCACCTCTCTTTTATGTTCGATTTTGAGTAAACCTGTTTTTAAAATTAAAATTATAATTGCGGATAAAAGTTGCGGACTTTTTTTGTTATTTTGACAAAATTAATGGGATATTTATTATTTTGAACTAAATTCAGAATTAATAAAAATTCTGAAAAACAAAAATTCTAAGCAATCAGAATTTAATAAAAAATATAAATATTCGAATCTCCCCACTTTAAAGTTTTGTGGAGCTCATTTTTAATTTTAAGCGTGATTGGTATAATTGTTGCCAATTAACTTCTTTTGTTGTATTTAAATTTAATTTAGATTTTCTTTTAGTAATTATTAAAGGTTTTTCTTTTTTCTTTTCCTCATTTAATAAAGATTTTCTTTTTTCTAATTTATTGTTAAAATAATTAAAATTTTTTTCATTATTTATTGAAGATTTTCGTTGACATTTTAATGAATTAAATAATTTTACGAGGGATTTTGAACGTTTAGCAATTCTTTGAGCTATTGTATTGTGATGATAAAAGGGTGTAAATGATGGGGCTGAACATGTTGAAGAAGATATACCTGAAGAGAAATTTGAAAAACACAAGAAAAGAGATTTTTTTTTAAATTATTATACGTTTCGGCGCAGTAACCTTATGGCGCGCCTAGTCATAAAATGAAACATTGAAGGTCTAGGGCTTTGAAATTTTGCCGGATTATTATTAATAGAGTTATCTAACTCTTCTATAAATTTCAAAATTTTTAGTGGAAGAAATCAGAAGTTATGGGCAGAATTGATTCAAATTTCTCCTAAGAAAGTCATTTTTCGTCTATTTTTTGGGCACAACTTGCCAAATATTTAACCAAAAATTCTGAAATTTATAGAAAAGCTGAAGGACATTATTAAGCATATCTAAGCAAAATTTTAAGACTTCAAGTATTTTACAAGTCAAGTTATAGACATTTAAATTTCCCTCCCTTACTTATTCTATCCTCCACAGAAAGATAATTGCTTCTTTTTCTTTTTTCAGGTAATAATAAATAATTTGTTGTTGTTGTAATAGCCCTATTTCTGAATTTAATATTTAAATTATTTTTCTTCAAATTTTCTTCTTCATTAAATAAATTAATTTCCAAACTTTTTGATCTTTTCAAATTTAATTTTAAATATTTTCGTTTATTTCTGCAATGTAAATCCCATTCAGACAAAGATAGGGGAAGAAATTGACGGCGAGGCTTTTTTGGAATAATTAAATTTAAAAACATTTTTTTTTGAAAAAATTAAATGAAATGAATTAATATTCTTAAAGACATTTTAAATAAATTTGGGGAACTACTAGAAAAATAATTTTTGAAAAAAGGAAATGACGAATTTCTCAAAAGCTCTTTTCTAACTAAGTGATTAGTCAGTTTTTTGGGGAGGGGGAAGGGCAAAATGTAATTTGATAAAAAAAAATTGTTTAAAAAATAAACAAAAGAAAACAATTTAAAATTTGGAAAAATATTAAAAAATTATTTTTAATCTTCTGTATATTGAAGTTATGGACTTACTTCGACTAAAATCAAGTTTATTTCGATTTATATTAACTTTTTCCTTAAAACGCCAAAAAAGACTTTAATTTATTTTTGGCTGTTTTACTTAATGAATATTTTTGTTTTTGATAAAGTTTTTCATTATGTATTAATCTCTTAAAGCTAAGCTGGAGGAATCGAGATCCGGCAAACTAGTAAAGCATTAGTTTTTCAGTAATTTATTAATTCTTTTCCTTTAATTTTATTTAACTTAAAAGATCTACTAAATCTAGAGAAAGATTTTTTAAATGTATTTAGAAGATATTGGAGGTACTTTAAATAAAAAATTAGGTATATTGTGTAAGTGAAGGATTTGATTTATTTTTTATTTTCGATAAAGTTCTCTAAAACTTTAAAACTTAACAACTCTTGGAGGCATTAACTATATTGGAATTTTTTTTGAAGGAGAGAATAGGCATCCCGAAAGCGACATTGTATTCCTTCAAGCTGAAGTTCTTCTCTGTGACGTTAACAGTGTTCGGGTTGAGCTCCACTTGGTTGTTGGCAGTCTTTTTGTGATTGCCGAGTCCGCAATCTCCTCCTTCATCTGTCCAGGCACTTGGAATGTTGCGATGACGAGAAGCATCAGCACCAAAGAGCACAGCGTTGACGACTTCCTTGTCCCAGGGCCGGTGTCAAATCCAAATGGAAGATGGCAGCGGACGAACATTGAGTGTTGCTGTTTGTAGAGTTGCGATGAATGTTTGGTCAGTTTTTAGCCTGGCTTTTATAACATTCGAAGGGCACAAGAGTAGGCACCCAGCACTTCTAACCCCTTCGAATGTTATAAAAGCCAGGCTAGAAACGACCACACAACCGACCGACACTACCATTCATCTCAACTAGTTCCGTCTACGATGACATCAAGGAATCGCAACATTGTGACCGCCAGCAGAGGGGACACTCCAAGGGCTCGCCAATCTTCAGGAGACAATCCAAGGACATCGCGCCAATCTTCCGGAAGCACTCCAAGGACAACTCGTCAATCTTCTGGACAACCACGCAGCCGCTCAAGTGTTCGACGCCAGGGAAGACCACGGACTGTGGAGGACAGCAACGAAGATGCAGCGTTCATTGAGCAGCTTCAGGCCTGGGCCCAGGAAACTTCGCGGAAGCAGCTGACGGACCTAGAGTCCGAGTTCGAGCGTCTACAGAGCCAACCGCGACCGGAACCATCAGCTGAATTTGCTCGGTAATTTTTTTCTTTAAGCATTGTTTTTAACCCAGAATAATTTTTACTTTTGTAGCAACCCTACTCTGAACCGCTATCGGGACGTCATCTGTGTCGAGAACAACCGGGTCGTGCTGTCGAATGGACGCTACATTCACGCCAATTGGATTGATAGCCATGGTGAAACTTGGCCTGTTTTAAACATAACAAAATAATCTATTTTAAGGTGATCGTCGGTACATCTGTACGCAGGGCCCGCTTCCGCAAACTGTCGGCGACTTCTGGGAGATGGTTCTGCAGGAGAAAGTTGAGGCGGTTGTGATGCTATGTGACACCATCGAGCTGAACCGGCCCAAGTGCCATCAATACTGGCCTAAGGATAACACACCAGAATCGGTTAGCCTTTCTGTAGATTGAGGCATTAATTTAATGGTTTTTTTGCAGGCAACCAGCCGAGACGACAACATAAGAGTCCGTTTCGTGGATACCGAGGCACTGGACGACAACCATCTTATCCGGACACGCCTGCAAGTCACCAGCGACAATCCGAAGAGGCAGGCGAATGTTCGACACTTCCATTGGAGACGTTGGCCCGATCGTGGAGTGCCTATGAACCATCTCGCGGCGCTACGATTGCTCTTCTACATCGGGAAATACAAGCCAATAGTCGTCCACTGTTCGGCAGGTAAAGGACTACATAAAATTAATTTTATGACAAGCTTTTTTTGACTTCTAGGTATTGGCAGAACCGGGACCATCGTGATGATCTACTTGGCTCAGAATACGCTGCGCGCTGGGCATCGTCTGGACTTCTACGAGTTGGTAGCAGAGTTGCGTCGTCAACGGGCTGGCAGTGTGCAAACCTTGGACCAGTATCTGTACATCTACAGCGTCTTTCTCCGGTAAGAGAGAAAAAGCACGCCAGATTCTCAAATTTTTAATTTTTCCTTCCAGATACGCAAAGAACAAGGCTGATGCAGGCAGGCTCAACGTGGACGTGGAAGCAGTCGAACGGCTGATACAAGCGATATCGAGACGGATCTACAAGCCGACGAGACGCTAGGAGAGAGAAATATATTCTGCTGTGATATCGCATAGTGATATACTTATTCGTTGTTGTTGTATTTTGCTTGTATATTTGCTTGTATTGAACTCATAATTGTATATTTTGTGTTTCTTGTATGTTTTTTTGTATATTTTCTTGTATGTAAATAAATATGTATTTTTTGATTTTGTGTTCTTAAGTTGATAAATTTTGGTATAAACGCTGCATATAAGGAATTTTAAGTGAAAACTTTAAATTTGCGAAGATTTTTAACTCGCTAAACTTGTTGCAAAAGCTGAACTAAGCTTATAGCTTTTTCTCCTTCGGCTAGTGTAAAGGTTATTTGACGACTTGGAGCGAACCAGCATTTTTAGTTTACCGGACTTAGAACAAACGTTATTCAAAAGGCCGTCATTTTTGGATAGTTTGAAATCAGCGGTACTGTATCGCGATACTGAATCATCCCCTACTCCGAAATTGCGGCAGTTTCAGTGCCGATTATTAGTCTATTTTTCCCTAAAATATGGCGTAGTGACAGAAGACCCACAGACAGAAGACCCAAGGACAGAAGAACCACAGACAGAAGACCCACAGACAAAAGACCCACAAGGAAAAATTTCTACTAAAAGCTTAGAATAACAAGATTGGACAAAGTTACGATAAGAAATCAAACAATATAAACCAATGGGGCGTCGGCGAGACGCTTGTGCAAAACCTCGCGCTTCGCGCGAAGTTTTGCGGCACGCGTCTCGCAGGTAGTCAACGGTCGCTGGGTTCTGCACTAGTAACATAGACCTATTCTTGTTATCGATGCAGTGGGCATGCTTGATATCCTTCGCAGGAGCAAGAACCCTCAAAAAGACATAGGTAAGGAGCCAATATGAAAGCAGTATAAATAAAAATAAGAAAAATTGTCTGTGGGTCTTTTGTCTGTGGGTCTTCTGTCTGTGGGTCTTCTGTCCTTGGGTCTTCTGTCTGTGGGTCTTCTGCGTCGACCCGCTAAAATATAATAAGATTTTTATATTTCAGACAGATTTAAATGAACGATTTAGTTAATCAATTTAAAAGTGCTGCATTAGCTGTTGGTCAATATTTAACTCCAGTACTTAAAGAATCTAAATTTAAAGAAACTGGAGTTCTTACTCCCGAAGAATTTGTTGCTGGTTTGGAAATTTATTTATTTTTAATAATTTTTAATTTAATTTTTGAAAGCTGGTGACCATTTAGTTCATTTATGTCCAACTTGGTCTTGGGCAAAAGCTAGTGATTCTAATGGGTATTTTGTATTTTTTTGGAAATTATTTGAGAATTATTTTAAGGATTTGTACTTATTTACCTGTTGACAAACAATTTTTAATTACCAAACAAGTGCCTTGTCATCAAAGATGTGCTCAAATTATGGGATATGATGAGTCTAAAGAAAAGGTTTTCTTTAATTTTAAGTGTAAGAAATTCTAGGGTTTTGTTTTTGATTAGAGATTGGGAATCTGAAGAGACCCTTTATTTTTGATCTTGATTTATGTGAAGACATTGTCCAAATTTTGGACCCAGAAAAATCAAGGTCTTCCAAATCCAATCAAAATTCAGTTCCAAACCTCTAATCCAGAAAGTAACTAGCCTAAGCTCAAAGAGCAATGAAATTTTCGGTTGAATGAGATAATATCTTTAATTTTGTGCTCAAATTATGTTTTATGGGGAGTCTAAAGAACTCTAAATGTGAATAGAATAAGAGAATATAATTAATTTTTTAAATGTGTAAGAAGGAGTTTCTGTTCCGGCTAAATAACCACTAATTTAACTGAAAAAATTTTTGTCCGCAAAATTTTGGGAAAAATGTTTCATAATTTTTGAGTTTTTTAAAATAATTTTAATTATTTTTTCTTAAGATAATCAAAGAGGAGTCTGCTGAAACTGGAGATGACCAGGATGAATGGGTGGATACTCATCACTTTGACTTTGAAACAAATTGTACTCCAAAAGATCTAGAGGAAGCAGAAAATATTGAAATTGCTCAGAATCTAGAAGGAAACAATTTAAATGAAGAAGAAAATTGTGAAGAAGAGGAGGAAGAAGGAGGGGAACCTATTGATTTAGATGAATATTTATCTAGTGGATTATTAGAAGAAGAAGACACAGCAAGGTTTTTTTTAATATTTAATAATTAAAAAAGGTTAGGGTGGGTTATTTTATGAGGATGTTTTGTGACCCGGACCCATCGATTTTCCAATTTTAAATGAAACTGAGAAGTTCGAAATTCTCTTATTACTTGGTAAAAAATTGAAATGATTTTTCTGTTTATGTTTTATTTGTAAAGCATTATTGACTAACACTCATTTTTTTGCAATTTAATAAAGATTCAAGGGCTTTGTTTGTGAGAACTATTTTTTGGTTTTCTTGAAATTTTTTTTAATTTTTGGTTATTGAGCTAGAAAACCAAAAAAGCGGCTTTGAAACCCTTATATTCCAATGTAACCTTGTCCTTAACCAGCAGAGAATCTAAACTTTAAAATTTTCAGCATTTATATAGAATTACTTTTAAAAAATTTTTTTCAGATTTGTTTTACAAAATAAATCAACTAAAGAAACAAATGACGATTCATCTTCAAATAATTTATTGAGAACGAGAAGATATGATTTACATATAACTTATGATAAATATTACCAAGTTTGTTTTTCTTAAATTATTTTAAAAATTCTTCTTAGGTTCCAAGATTTTGGTTAGTTGGCTATGATGAAAATGGTTCTCCTTTGGCTGTGGATAAAATGAAGGAAGATTTTTCTCAGGTTTGGAATTAAATTTTGAATGAAAAATTAAGTTGTTTTAAAGAGATTTTTTGAAATTACTAAATAGGAAACTAAAATAAAAATTAACCACTCCAAGAAGGACTAGAAGGACTTTTATGGCCTTTCAGGCCCGTAACCAGGATTTTTTCGGGGGGGGGGGGGGGGGGGGGGGCAGAGGTTATCATTCTCGGCGCCGAAGGCGCCAAAAATTTTGAGAACCTGTGGACTAGAACTTTCGAAAATTGTCCTGGAACCGAAAATAGGCAATAGATTATCAATTATTTTTTATACGATAAACCAAAATTTTCGAAATTATAGCATCGACAAGTTGAGAGGGCCCCTTGGTATAAGCTTTTAGAACATAACAACCTAACGCGGTTACATCTCAATTCACCGTGAAGGTTATCGACGCTCTAATGTAAGCTCATGTCAGTTCAATGAAATGCATTAAACCATAACTGTTTATGAATCGATAATCCCGAACAAAGTTATAGCTATTCGGTGTAGTACCTGCCCCCTCATAAAATTTTTTGAAGTTTTCTTTTTCAATTTAAATTTCATTTTCTAATTAAATTATTTTTTTAAATTTTAAGGAGCATGCAGACAAAACAATTACTTTAGAATCACATCCACACATTTCTGGTTTAACTTTAGCAACTATCCATCCATGCAGACACGCACCTGTTATGAAACGTTTAATTGAACAATTTCAGGAAAGTGGGAAAGAATTGCTTGTTATCGATTATTTGTTTGTTTTTCTAAAATTTGTACAGGTTAGTTTAGAGAAGAATTTTTTAAAATATTTTAAAAAATTTTATTTTGAGTGGGTTGATTTTTTGGTAGATGTAAATAATAAGGGTTTCTTGGATAATACCCAAAAAATGTTTTTTTTTCTGGTTGGCTATCTGAAGCCAAACGGGATCAGTTGAACTAAAAATAAAAATTATCCACATGTAGGTGTCGCCTGAAAATTATTCATAAATTTTTGATCACTAAGATTAATTAAAATAAAATAAACAAAAAAAACTTAAAAATCCATTTTCTTTTATTTTAAACAGAAAAATTTTAAAAATTTTATTTTAAGGCTGTAATTCCAACTGTTGAGTATGACTACACTCGTTCTATTCACTTTTGACTTGGAACTTAAAAATATTACGAATTTAATTGATTCTTTTTTTCTTATATTTTGATGATTCTTATATTTTATTATAAAAAGACCCCTTCTTAAATGTTTAGACTATTTCGATATACCATCACTTTTTATATAAAATATTCTCGTTATTATTTTACTTTAGTCAATTACTGGGCTTTATTCCACACCGGGGATGGGACAACCTGGACCTTTTTCGATCTGAAATCCTACCCGATTTTTCTAAACCCGTGATATATCCCCTTGTTCCACGCCTTATCAAAACAAGCAACGAAAATATTCGGCTATAATGAAGGTGTCGTTAAACGGGGAATTTTATTATATATTTTGTATTGTTTTTTTGGTATATTTTTAACAATAAAGAGTTGATTAGTTTTTTGAAAAAAAACTAATTTTTTTGTGTGACTGTCCAAATAATTATTTACAAAAAAAATATAATTTTCAAGGTAAAAATTTGTTTTTTAATTTTGTTTTGTTTTTCTGTTCCACGTCTTCCCGCCTTAAATTACTGGAACCTGTTGTTGCTTTTCAGAAAGGCCATTTTTGCTTTTTAACCTTTATTTATTTTTGTAAAAGAAGAAAGCTTTTTCTCTATTAAAAAAATGATTAAAATAAATAAAATATTAATTTATTTAATTTCAATAATTTATTTATTTTATTTGGCACAAGCACGTTCAGGTAATTTGTGTATAAATAATTTAAAAATCATTCTATGTACTATTTAGAGTTTAATGAATAAATTATAGTAATAATTCTCTCCTTGATTTATTTAAAGTTTTTATTTTAAAAATAAGAGGATAAGAAGCACTCGTGTGATTCTCCATTGTTTTCCCTTCTTTATCTGCTTCCAAAAATTTTTTTAAATTTTATTTTGCTCTTATTTAAAATAACAAAAATTCTTTTTCCGATTTTTATTTAAAAAATACTTTCGATTATCTCCAAAACTCTTACATAAGTTGAAAAAGGATCACAGAAGCAGATCAGGAATATAGTAAATGTTGAAAGGGTTTTAAAAAGTACTCCTTTTTCTCTTCATTTATATACCGTAAATCATAATTAACATGTACAAAGTTCGCAAAAAAGTTTGAGAAATGGGGGGGGGGGTGGGATAAATAATTAAATTACCAAAAAATACATTTTTTTTAAATTTAATTTGACCTTTCAAAAACAGTTTCTACAACAAGTTTGGAATTTTTCCGAACAGATGAACGGGGACCTGCAACTTTTTTATCTGATGTAAGTTGATTAAAAATTAAAAAATGTTAATTAATTAATTTTGGGCGTAATTTAATTAAAAAAGAGAAAAATTAAATTTAATTAAAAAATTCTTTGCAAAAAAATTAATTTAAAATTCAACAAAAATTTATTTTAAAATTTTTTGATGTGTGAACAATTAAAAAAACGTTTTTAGACATCTCACCGTCATACAATTCACTGTTAACGAAAAATAGTTTAATAGAAAGGCCAATAAGTCTTGGCTAGTACCAAGAATGGGTAGGATTGAAAAAGAAGTCAGGTTTCTGGTTAACCAGGCCCGTCACTATAATTTTATCTTTTAATTTAAATTTTTAAAAATTATTTTTTAAACACCCGTAAATGTGTCACGGTTATCGAGAACATGAATTTTTCAAGACTTCGATTCTAGTACGACACTTTTGCATTGCGAGTTTAGTTTAGTAAAAATAACACCAAATATGTAATTATGAACATTCTAATTTCAAAATCTGAGGAATTTTATCATAAAACATTATTTTTTCATTTCCTCCATTTTTGTTCTTTTGCATCTTCTTTTACAAATTTTTACTTTTTTCCAAATATAACCAGTTTTGTAAAGGTTTTCCCTTTTACACGTAAAATAGAAAAATTAAACATTGAAAATAATTTTGCGCGTAATAAAAGTAAAAAAAGGTGGAACATTTTCTTTTTTTATCAATTAATAGGTAAACCCTTTTATTTGTATTTTTTACACTTCCGATAAGGGGGGCATTAGACAAAAATAAATAGCCTGAAGGTTTGTATTTTCAATCCTCTTCAAAGTTTTTGAGGATGTTGAAAATGTAGTCGAGAAAAATTTGTGGAGATGAAGAAATGAATTTTTGAAGTAAAAATATAACGCTTAAAACGACAAAATGCCTAAAAGGGTAAAAAGTGAACAAAATGCCCAAAACCATAAGGGTCAGAACTCAAAACAAAATATGTACAAAAAATAAAATTAAAAAAATTAATTTCACATAGAAACTCAAACCAATAACCCATGAAGAAATGGAAAGAAGAAAAGTATCAAATACAGACCCTTTTGAGACAGCAGAAGGAATATTAAATTGGGATGCTGACATAATAAAGTTTTTAAGTTGAAAGAATAATTTTTAAAAATTTAATTTTTAAGAGATAAAGAAAGAAAACAATTTAAAGGGCTTAAAAAACCTTTAAAATTAAAAGTTGAACAAAATGATGAATATGATGTTGACCCTTTTGAGGCGGTTACTGACTGGCTTCCACTAAACAAAAATGTGGAGAAAACATAAAAATGAGAGGAAAATTTAATATTTTTATTTGTAAATTAATGTATACAATATTTGTATTTTGTGTATATAAATTGTGATTTTTAAAAATAATATGGAGAGGTTTATTTAGGAATAACTAGGGGATATTTACAGATTGGTTTATGCTCTCATTAACCTTATATGTACTATTGACTTCTATGAGATATTCAAAAATTTTAAGAATGATAAATGGGCGTTGCAAAATTTGCGGATATAATGAACAGTTGATTTCCTCAAAATCTAAGGAGTTTTAATGTATTCATAAAAAATTCACTTAGAGATTCTTAAAGAGGAGGCAAAAATAAAAATAGGGTCAGAAAGAGTTTTACAATGTGCTGGTTATTACGATTAATTTCGGATATAACGACAAACATGGGAACTTTTAATAGAAAATAATTTCCGTTTAATTAGCATAGCATTGCCTATCATTTTCATAACAGCTAAAACCTTCAGGGCATTTTGCATTTACACAAGGTCCAATCGAAAGAATATGGTCGGGTTTGGGTATTTCCAAAGCTAAAAATTAATTATAATTTAATCTAAACATTCCTTACATTTAAAACAAGTATTTTCAATACATTCAAAGCCTTTAGGGCACAGATTATTAACACAAGGTCCAATAGAGATTGCTGGTTCGTCTTTTTTATTTGCATTATTAAATGAATCTGGACGGCTTATTTTGTTACTTAAAGGTGTTTTGAATTCGTTTGCCTCATTTTCTAAATTATATTTTTAATTAAAAATTAATTTGTGACAATCCAAAAAAATAAAATTGAGAGCTCATTTCCATTAATTAATCTTTCAAATTACGGTATAACCGATAAATTGTGCTACTTGCCAATATTCGACGTATCCCTTCAAACTGGGATTGTACCACGATAATGATAATTTAAATTTATGATATTTTTACGCTTAGTTATTTATGCTCCTCGATCTGTTGTTCCTAGTTTCGGTTTCCAAGATCGGGAAGTTATATTTTTATGTCAGCAGGATTTTTAGTATTTTTTGAAGTAAACTAGATTTTCGGTAGAAGAGCCTGCTCTACTTAAAATTTGGGACAACTTAAACATATACTTTCTGCTCTTTAATTGAGGCCTTCTCAAAACTGGTTAGAGATTTTACAAAATTTAAATTAAAACAACTTAACTTTTTACAATAACCAACAATAAAAGCAAAAAAATTTTGCAGACAAAATTCATAATAAAATAATTATAAAATTGTTGAATCGATTCTTTCTCTAAAAATAATTAATTGTCAGCTACCTCTAACGAACAATGAATTTATAAATGTTTGTTTTTCTTCTTTTCCTTTTGTCCACAACAAGAGTTCTTTAAAAGAAAAGTAACAGCAAATCTTTTAGTATTGTCCGGTAAATAAAAACTAGATTTTATTCTCTTTCTCATCTTTTTTCTAACATAAAATTCGGAAAAATCTGGTTAAAAATATTTTCCGGATTTTTAGTCAGACAAAGACGAGAGAGTGTATGTTTACCATACAAATTAAGAGAGACAAGTTCCGGTGCAGACATTCTTATTTAATTATTTTAATTAATGCAGTGGTTAAGTTGGTTTTCATTTTGTTCTAATAAGGTGACGTTAGGAGGTTCGAATCCAGTTGGGGCCAAAACAAATTTTAATTTAATAAGTGTTTTAAATCAATTTTTGAATATATTTAAATGTTTCTAATTTAGTTATTTATTTTTTTAGACATTTAATTATTTAATATTTCTCCAATAAAAATAAAAAAAAATATTTTTTATTTTTATCCAATTTGGTTTAAGTCAAGTAAAAAAAAGAAATAAAAAATATATTTATAAAATCGCCAACGAGGGCGATTATTAAAAAAATGACTGGGGAACAAATTTATAAAAATTTTTTTATTCTAATTCGAAGAAAATAAAAAATAAAGTGATGGAGGGAGAATGAAAAGGAAAACAAATTTTGGGGGAAGAAATGAGGAGGGGTGAAAGGAAGGCAGTGATATTCTTCACAATAATGGCTATTAGCAATATGCGCGCCTGGATGTTGAATGTTTTTCCGTTTTTCAAAATACATTTAATATCCGCTGGCTTGAGAGGGTGCAGCTGCTGGGGCAGGTTGGGCGACAGCTGGGGCTGCTTGTTCTGGTGCAGGGGCAGCTGCTGGGGCGGCTTCAGCTGGTGCAGGTGCAGGGGCGGCTTCGGGTGCAGGGGCAGCTGCTTCACCTCCTGATGGGGCGGCTGCTTCTCCTCCGGATGGTGCTGCAGACTCTGCTGGGGCTGCTCCAGCTGCATGTCCAGCCTCATCTCCATAACTAGAAAATAGAAAGTTATTTTCAACCTTTTATTTAATAAACTCACGAGTTCTGAGAGCGCTTCTTCCTGTAACCGCTAGCTTGTGATGGTGCAGCTGCAGGTGCTGGCTGTGCAACAGCAGGTGCTGCTTGTTCAGGTGCAGGGGCTGCTGCTGGGGCAGCTTCAGGTGCAGGAGCAGCGGCCGGCGCGGCAGATTCTCCGCCTGCAGCGCAATTTTCTGTGCATCCAGTGGCGGCTGGGGCTGCTGCTTCACCTCCTGCTGGCGCTGCGGATTCTGCTGGTGCTGCTCCAGCGGCTCCTCCGGCTCCAGCCTCGTCTCCGTATCTTAAATGAGATACTATATAATCAAAACACAATTTATTAAAGCTTACGAGTTCTGTGAACGTTTCTTGCGGTATCCGCTGGCTTGTGATGCAGCAGCGGCAGGGGCAGGTTGTGCAACAGCGGGTGCTGCTTGTTCTGGAGCAGGGGCTGCTGCTGGGGCAGCTTCAGGTGCAGGGGCGGCCTCGGGTGCAGGGGCAGCAGCTGGGGCTGCTTCACCTCCTGATGGAGCGGCTGATTCTGCTGGTGCTGGAGCTGCCTCTGCTGGTGCTGCTCCAGCTGCATGTCCTGCTTCATCTCCATAGCTAGATAAAAAATGAATTGAACTTTGATATTTTATTTCTTAAAAGCTTACGAGTTTTGAGAGCGTTTTTTTCTGTATCCACTAGCTTGAGATGCAGCTGCAGCGGGTGCAGGTTGTGCTACAGCAGGTGCTGCTTGTTCTGGAGCTGGGGCTGCTGCAGGTGCAGCTTCAGGTGCAGGGGCGGCCTCGGGGGCAGGGGCAGCAGCAGGTGCTGCTTCTCCTCCTGAAGGGGCGGCTGATTCTGCTGGTGCTGCCGGTGCTGCTCCAGCGGCACCTCCAGCTCCTGCCTCGTCTCCATATGAGTTCTGATTCCTCTTCACGACTAGAATAACAACAATTAAGAAATCAAAGCTTTACAAGAAGTAATAGGGGCAAATTACCTCCACAATTAACGGCAACTCCCAAAGAGAAGGCAACCAACAAAAATATATCAAAACGCATCTTTTTTCACAAATTTTGTGCAACGTAAATTATTTTTTAAAATATTTTAAAGCCTTCTGATAGTTATTTTGTTCACTTGGACCAGTTAAATACCCTTATGGGCGGGCAATGACGAAAGAGGGCCAACCACTTTTTAGTTGAGGTCGGCGGACATGGCCGGCGGACCAGAGGGCGGTCGAGAAAATACATTGAAAGACTTGATGGCCTAAGAGGGGCAGAGGAGGGGCAAGAAAAGGTTTGAACAGCAATCTCGCCAAAAGAAGACCTCGAGTCTCTTCAATTTTTTACTCTTCAAATATGCCCAAAAAAAGGGAAAGAAGAGAAGAATTGCCATCAGCCGCCAAAAGGAATTGAGAACACGTAAAAGGGAAGAGAGCAATCAAAAGGTGAAGGGAAGGGATGGGGGGCTTCCTGCTGTGTAAAAAAAAGAACACCGACCGAGAATACAAAATTGAAGAGTAACAAGAAAAATGGCAAAAATTGTGTATTGAAGAAAGAAAAGAAGAGAAGAGAAGATTTTGATTTTGAGAGAAGAAAAAAGAGCAAAAATAAAAAAAAGGGGGGGGGGGGGGGAAGATGGCAGGTTTTGTTCCAGTAACGTTGTCGACCCTTTCCTCTTTTTAAAAATAATTTTGTATTGAAAACCCGGTTACAAACAATATTATTTATTTTTTTCTTCACCTTTTTTTACCTTCTTGCAACTATGTATAATTTTACTAAAAAATAAGGGCCCCCTTTTCCCTCCTTGTCTATTCTTCACCCACTTTTGGAATGATTAAAAAAAGCCCGTATTTTTACCTTATTTTCTTTTTATTTTTGGAGGAAAAAAGGAAAGAATGTTTTTGAGCATTGAAAGTGTAAAAATTTGAAAAAAAATTAAGAGAAAGAGAAAAATATTTTTAAGATTTTTTAAAAAATTTTTTTTGAGGATATTTTAAACTAATTTGTCATTTTTAATTAAAATGTATACAAATTGATCTAAAAAAGTTTTTTTTAATTAAAAGTAATATTATAGTATTTTTTAATTTAATTAGGTTTAAACTACATTATTAACTATAGGGTTGCCGGTTCTTGGAAAATCTGGGATATCCGGAACCAAGAAATCCTCTCTTCTTCGATGCAGTTCCAAATTAAAAGGATCAAATCATTACATCTTTAAGGCATGTTTCTTTTTATTTAAATTCGGTATTTGCAAAGAAAATTGTTTTTGAGGACTTTTCCATTTTTATGTGGAAGCCGTGTTCAATCCTAATTTCTTCATAAAAAAGTCCGATACCCCGAACTGATCAAAATTTAAAAATCTTTACAGTTTTGATTAATTACAAGAAAGTTCAGATTGAAATTAATAGCAGACTGAATCCACATCACCCTAATTTAGTTCATTATTTTTTACACAATCCCATACATCCGTTTATTTTTTAATCAAACAAAATCTGCAATCGTCACAAAACGCCCTCTTAATCAATGCAAAACTCCCTTCCTGTTGATCTTTTATTCAAAAATAATTTTAAAAACCTTTGCTCTTTTAACAAAAAAATATTTACCTACTTATTTAACGTCATTAACATAAATTAAAATATTTTTTTCTCAAACAATTTTCGTCACAATAAAAGACCATAGTTCAAAAATTTTAAATTATTATTTTTATTTATTTATTTTCTAAATATTAATCATCAAAAATAAATTCGTCAAATTCTCTCTAAAAAATCTCCCACGTTTAAGAAAGTATTTTAGTAAGATTTTTGAAATATCGACTTTCTAAAAAATTAAAAAATAAATTCCAAGAGTTCCCCCATGCTCTTTTTAGAGGACAAATTTTCATCGAAAATTAATTGACCTCGGATTAGGGAACAGGTAATGTCTGCATATTAAATTTCGTTGAATGGGAGGTTTACCATTGTAGAAAGGACCTAATTTGGAGAGGAAAACTAGGCTTTTTTTAAAGAAAATTATCGGAGAGATTTTAAGATGAATGGAGTGCTGGAAAGATTTAGGGATTTTGAGAAAAACACGGCCATAATACTGTTAATTTTATTTAATGAAGCTAAACAAAAATTAAACTTATTTAAAAAATTCAAAGAAAATTAAATTCTCTCTCACAAAAATACCACACAAAACAAACAAAATAAACTTGTTATTTTTTTATATAAAATTGTTTAAATCGAGAAAATTAGCTTCTCATTTTTTCGAATTATTTTTAAAAAATTTTCTCTTTCGCTGCTTTTCTTTAGGAAAAACAGAAAATAAGGAAGTATATTCCATATAAATATGTTTTATATTTAATTAAATTGCTTCATTTAAAATTTTTTTTCATTCCCATAAATTTATTGAAAAAAATTTTTTTGCTTTGTGATAAAAGATTTTATATTTTTTTCAAAGAAATTCCCCATACTACCGTTATTTTAATTTTTATAAAAGTTGAACAATTTTTTGATGACTTGTTGGTCTTAGGGCCGGTGTCGAGCTTCATCGGAAGAAGGCAGCGGGCGAGCATGAAGCTTTGTTGTTTTGAACGTAGACGATGTTGGTGCTTTTAGAGTTGAGACGATTGTTTTGAAGAATTTTGGCTTTTATAGTAGCTTCAGACCTTTTAATCTAAAATTAACAAAATTTATTCTTTCCTTCATCCAATCCTTTTTAAATTCTTTAACTATATCAACCACAATACAGCTTCTGGATTTCACCATAAGAAATCCGTTTTAAGCCAAATTACTTTACTTTTAACTCACAGATTTAATTATTCTCTCAAAATTAACTAAATGGAAAATGAAGAGAATGAAAATAATAAAAAGGAGGAGGAAGACCTTGAAAAAACAATAAAACAACAAGATATAAATCAGCAGAAAAAATTTTTTACTGCTTGCGAGGATGAAATAAAAGAATTTGGAGGAGAATCAAAATTTGTAAACGAATCTGTAGAAGACCAGGGGACAAATAATGTAATTTTTATATTATATTTTAAGTGCTAGAAACATGAACTTGAAGTAAGAGAAACTTGTAATAAGGATCTTGGGGATACTCTTTTTGAAAATTCCGGATAACCAAAAATTCCTTTTTTCTTTACTGAAAAGTGAGACATTCAAAAATGAAAATAAAAAGCATTAAACGAAATCAGTTAAATTACGCCCAAACATTTCTGCGCCCAAACATCCCCGCCCAACGTAATAAACAAAAATTCCAACTGTGCTTCTTTTAATTATCAAAAACCAAGAAAAAATATTATAACAAATTAAGCGAATTCCTTTCCTTTTTTTAGATAAAAAATCAGCAACAAAAATTCCCTTTAGAAGATGACATTTCTTCATTTTCATCAGCCTCAACTTTATTTACCTCAAATAATAATTTCTCTTCTTCTTCTCTACAAAATTCTTTTAAAATAAAAAGAAAAGCAATTGTAGAAAGACAATTTTCAAGAAAATCTGTTACTTTTAGAAAAGATTCTTTTATTCAAAAATTAGACAAAAATATTCAAAGAGAGGAAGATTTAAATAAAAATAAGAATTCAATGCAGGCAAGTTTTCTTTTTAAGAAAAAAATTTTTTTAGTATAAGGAAGAAAGGAAGATTAAGTTTGGCTAATATTTAAGTATTCAAGGTCTATCTTAAATCGACTTGAATTTTAAATAATTACCCCTAAATTACATTAAATCCCTGTTGTAGGAAGGAAGGAAGATCCATCTGGCTTTGCTAGATGAGGGTTTAAGGTTTATTAAAAGAGAGGGTGAAAGCAGCGCCATAGCGTGTTGATAGAGCGAAAGCGCCTATGAATAACTAAATATCAGTAGATCAAGAAATCGGTTACTCTATAATTTCTTTGAAAAATTTAAATTTTAATAAATACAAGCAAATAGTAGGTTTATAAGGGGCTGCGCTTGGATTCGTCCCACCTTGGATTCGTCCCCCTTGGATTCGTCCCCCTTGGATTCGTCCCCTTGAACAAAAACTATGGATTCGTCCCACTGTACAAAAACCCTGGATTCGTCCCCTTTGGATTCGTCCCCTTGGACAAAAACTTTGGATTCGTCCCACTAAGTTAATAATCAATCTTTTGTTCTTTTTCCCGTTGTGTTTTTGGAAAGGAACTGATTTATTTTTTGTTTTAAGCATTTTCTTTGTTCTTTAGATGTTCCACCACAACAATTAGCAATAACCAACAACAATTATTAACGAAAAAAGATAATTTTTGTGGAAAATTTAGATTTTTTTTTAATTTTTAAAAATTTTTAAATTTCTTCAATTTTCTTAATATCTCAAGACGGCGAGAATTCTACAATGAATGGCGAGGTTTCTACTACAGACACAAGGTTTATTTTTTAGTTTTTTGGCTTTTTTAATTTTTTTATTTTCCCTATTACAAGGGAGAGCTATAGCCCCAGAAGCCCCTTGGCCGTTATCCCTGCGTATTTTTGCGGCCTTTTTTTGGGGAGATTTCTTCCCCCAATTCCACTTCTCACTCCATTTTTTTATTTTTAAAATTTTTTAAATTTAAGACAATCCAGTCCTGGACTTGTTTTTATTTGTGTCGAGCAGATTGCTGCTGATGCCTGGTGACCTTGATATGTGGAGTCTTCAACCTTAACCCAAACGGCCCTCTTTAGGGCCACAATTTTAATAAGTGAAACGAGACATGACTTTAAAACTTTTGATAAAGATTTTTTAAGAATTTTTTTTGTAAATTTCTACGGATGTTTTGATGACTTTTAATATCATCCGAAGAACTTATTTTCAGGCATGATTCCCCTTTTTTAATTTTTAGTTCGACAAATTGAGTATTTTTACTCTGCTGGACATTTTGAGATGGGACGAATCCAAAGGGGACGAATCCAAGGGGGACGAATCCAAGGTTTTTGTACAGTGGGACGAATCCATAGTTTTTGTTCAGGGGGACGAATCCAAAGTGGGACGAATCCATAGCGCGCCTTATAAGGGGTTTTCTACCATAACTCCAATTTCATTAAAACACTCATTCCCAAGGTCTTAATTTTTATAAATTCTGTGAAAAAGTAATTTCCAACGTGACAACATATAATGTAATCGCTGCCCTCTAAACTGTGTTATCATCTTGTAAGAGAGATTTTCAAGGGTTGAGCTCAATTGTGTTTTAGTATGATTTTTGGCCTCAATTTTCGGGCGTATCCAACACCTCTTTCATTTTTCCCTCTCTTCCCGTCTTGCCTGTACAAAAAGTTTTTTTATAAAATTACAGAAAGTTTCATTTTTATTTTTTTGCAATTTTTAACGCCAATTTAAATTAACTTCACAATTAAAGATGGAAAGAAAATAGGGAAAACTTTCCCAAAATAAAATTAGCGAAAATTGCTTCCGGCAAAATAGTTTCCCCAATTTTTATCAATTTTTTCAAAATTAATTTCATATACTATTACACAAAATTAGATTAAACCAAAAATTTAAAAATTTAAATTGCTAAAAAGTATGTTTTAATATTAAATAAACGGTTAGTGGATTTTAGCACAACTTTGTTTGTAAAACAAAAATTAAAGCAACTAAGGAGAGAGACCATAATTTTCGTTTTATCTGTTAAGGTTTTGACCAAAATTTACGAAAATAAACTATCCAGCAGAACCTTGGATAGGAAGCATCTCTTGCGTATTTCTTTCCTTGTGATAAAATTTGCGGACATCTTTTGCGGACTTTTCAATAAAAAAAAGAAACCAATAAAAATTAATAGGAAAATTAGAACATTATGTAAAAAAATTTTATTTTCAGTTTGTTTCAAAACTTTTTGGGTTTGTTCGTGGAAAACTTGGTAGATGCTCAATGTGTTGTAATGCTAATCAACGAGTTGTAAAAGAAGAAAATGATAAAAACAAAAATATTCCGGATAGAGGAAAGAAGAGAAGGAAAAGCTCGATAAGGTGGTTAGTTAATATTTGAAGAAAGGAAATTTATATTCAAAATTTGCGGACAACTTTTTGCGGACTATTTCCATTTAAAAAATTTGCGAACAATTTTTGTGGACTTTTTCTATTTGAAAAATTTGCGGACAATTTTTGCGGACTTTTTTGTATTTTTTCATTACTGTTCAATTCAATTCAATTTATACGTATAAAAACGTGACATTCAGATAAAATAAAGTAAAGTAAACGTGACAATAATTTAAATTTAAATCGCTAAGGGTCTGGAGACATTTGAATGGAATGTGGCTATGATAAAATATTGTTTATGTTAAAATTGTTTAGGAGCTTTGGAAACAATTCGATTGACGATTTTTGTAATTCTGTTGGAAGTTTTCTGTAAATGTTTGGTATGTCTATAAAAAATGAGTTTTTCCGAATGGTGCTTGAACAAAAGGGGATAAATAGGTTATGTGGATTACCTCTAGTAGTGGTAGGGAGAATGCTATATGTATTATCGTGTTTTAGATTAATTTTACCTAAAATGATATTATGGAAAAGGATAAGATTAGATTTTAGACGTCTATGCGATAGAGATTCAAGTTTAAATAGGTCTAGGAGTTCTTTATAATTAGGTAAGGTTGGACTGTTGTTATGTTTTATAGAGCGTAAATATATTATTTTTAAAAATTTATGTTGAACATTTTCTAAAGCGTTAATGTCTTTACTTAGATAAGGGTTAATTATAGGAGATCCAAACTCAAGGATAGGTAAGACATATATTTTGAATAAAGTAATTAGGAATTGTGTATTATTAGTTTTAAGGGATCTTATAAGAGTATAATAAATTCCAGTTGCTTTATTTGTTACAATTTTAATGTGAGAATCCCATTTCAGGTTTGATGTAAAATAGATGCCAAGATCACGAATAGGTTCGTTGTGTGGAATAATTGGTATATTAATGTTTTGTAGAGTATATTGGTGGAAGGGATTTTTAGTTCCTATGTGAAAAGAACTGCATTTGCTGACAGCGATTTTAAGGCCATTTATTTCGCAGTATTTTGAGAATGTTTGGATAAATTTTTGGAGTGGAGAATAGTGATTTTTGTTTAAGAAGTCAAAGCAGGTATAGGCCTTTAAATCGTCAGCAAATAATTTGGGTGTTACATTTTCTGTTTCACAGATATCTATTATATCAAAAATATATGAGATGAATAAAATTGGGCCAAGAATGGATCCTTGAGGAACTCCGCTTGTTATAGGATATTCATTAGAGTTATTAGATTCGACAAGAACAGTAAAAGTTCGATTTAACAGATAATCCTCAATCCAATTTAGTAAAGCGCCAGTGATGCCTAGATGATTGAGTTTTTTCAGAAGGCGATCGTGGGGAACAGTATCAAAAGCTTTTGCCAGGTCGAAGAATATAACGTCAACACATTTCTTATTTTCTATAGCTAATGTATAGTCGTTATAAGTTTCTAGGAGTTGAGTTATAACTGAATGGTTTTTACGGAAACCATGTTGGCAGGTGGGAAGATAATTGTTAGTTTCAAGAAATGAAGTCAATTTATTAGAGATAATCCGTTCTAAAATTTTAGAGGTTGAGCATAAGAGAGAGATAGGTCGAAAATCCTTGGGTTCATTTGGATTATTATTTTTGGGAATTGGTCGGATTATTGACTTTTTCCAAATAGTCGGAATTTTACTTGTCATGATTGACATATTAAATATAATTGTTAATGGAATGGTTAATGAAGTTGCGGTGTTTTTTAAGAAAATGTTGGGAATTCCGTCCGGAGATAGGTTATTAACATTGTCAAGTTTGCTTATAATGTTATAGATTTCCTCTGGATTGATATCAATAAAAGATAAAGTATTTTTGTTAAAAGCTTTTATGTCAGAGGAGTCAAAGTTAGAAGAGTTAAAAACAGATTGGAATTGTTTGGCGAGACATTCGGCTTTATCTTTGGCTGAAATGGTAAATTGATTGTTATTGTTGAAGATTGGGATTTTGGTTTTTTTGGATTTAAGGAAGGCGCCTATATACTGGAATTTAGATCGGGAATCATTGAATTTTGAGATTTCTCTATTTTTAAAGAAACGAGAAATTTCTTTATCGATTTTCTGTTGAGTGAAAATGTATTTTTCACGGGTAGTAGGTTTATTAATATTTTTCCATAAAAGGTTTTTATATGAGATCATTTTTTGAATATGTTTAGGGAATTTAGCAATATCTTTATTGATCATTTTTAGTGGTATGAAATTTTGGATAATTTGATGAATGATTTCTAAAAATAGGGTATATTGAGAATCTACATTGGTACAATTTATAAACAAAGTATTCCAGTTTAAACCGATTAGAATATTGTTAATTTGATTGTAATCGGCATTGTGGAAGTCATGAATGAATTCTGGTTCTTTTGGAAAACAATTGAAATTTAAGTTAAATTCAATGGTGTTATGGTCAGAATTTTTGAATGGGGCATTAATGGTAATATTTTTGGCAACGCGAGAGGTGGAAGAGGAGAAAAGTAGATCAAGATAATTACTTTGTCTCGTTGGAGAAGAGATTTCTTGAAATAGATTACAGTTTTCTACGAAATCAATAAATAATTTTTCAGACGGTGATTTATGATTGAGAGCTTGCGGTATATTATCCTCCCAGATTAGATTGGGGAAATTAAAATCACCTACAATTATGTAGTTATGATTAATAGATATTAGGTAACTTAAGATCTCAAGAAGTTCCTGGAAGTCATTTAAATTTTCGTTTGTTGTAGGGCGGTAAACTGTTATTATTCTAAATTTGTCAAATTTTGGGGAATAAATGTCTATAGCTACAACATCGGAATTTTTATTTTTAGGAATTTTAACGGGAGAAAAAGGAACTATATTATCTACTAAAATACATGCACCGCCGCCCCTAGAACCTCTATCGCATCTAACGATGGAATAAGATGTACTATGTAAAATTTGGGAATTATCGATTTTTTTGTTCAACCACGATTCGGAAACACAAATTATTTTAAAGGATTTAGAAATTAAAAGTAATCTTAAGGCATCTAATTTGTTAACTAAGCTCCGGCTATTAAAATAAAGACATTTATAAAAAGGGGATTTATTTAAAAAATTTTTTAAAACCTTGAATCTTGGACGACCACTTAGTGGTTTTTTGTTCTTTCAGTCACATTGGCACTCATTCTTTTATTGTATTCATCTCGCTTCTTAGTACGTTCAATTTTCTCAGTTTCCAATTGTTCACGAGTAAGACTTGGCCTAATCAATAAACGAGACCATTTAGCTTCTTTTTTCATTTCCACTCTGTGACGTTTCCATTCAGCAAGTGTAATTCGCTGAAACTTTGAAGCACCAAAAACAATTTTAAGTAAACGACAACCTTTAGCAGTTGGGTCATACTTACCCATTCTGTATGAAACGAATGGGCTCTCAACCCCCAACAAGTTGAGTACATCTTCGATTGCGGCTTTATCTTCGACAACACGAATTGATGGTGTTGTTGATTTAGATTCTTGTAGACCAATAACAACAATTGAACGGTTACGCTCTTGTTCGCTTGCTGATGACTCATTGTTTTTAAAATTAGTTTCAATTGTTGTTTCAATTGTTTGAATTTTTGATTCAATTGTTGTTAAAGCATTTTTAATTTGAAGAATTTCATTAGAAAAAGACGAAAATTTTGTGTTGTTATTATCGATTTTTAATTCTAAAGCAGCCAATTTTTCCATTATTTGTTGTAATTCAGTTTTTGTGGGTGCCATTACGGCGTATTGATTTTTTATCTGAAATCTTAAACTTGGGTAATAAAAAAAAAAAATACAATAATTGTGTGAATAAATATAATAATTTTTTTTGTTCATGAAAAAATAAAAAAAAAAATTTTGAAAAAATTTTTTTAAGAAAACCAAAACTTCTGGGTATGCGACAACGTGAATCAGTTATTTTAAATAAAACAGAAAATCAACTTGAAGTATTTGAAAACCTCTTAAATCTTTACAATTCCCTCAAAGATGTAATTAATTTAAAAAATAATCCAGAACCTTTAATTAAATTGGGAATTGATTCTAAACAATTTTCAACAATTTTGGAGGAATTATACTTTTTTGTGCAAAAAAGTGAGCAACTCAAAGAGGCAGAAAGAAGGATAAAAGATAGAAAAGTAAGAAAAAAGAATTGGAAATAAATAAATATATATTTGTGTGAATAAATATAATTTATTGTTTTTAATTTTAAATTGAGGTTAGAAATTGGAATCAAATGCCAAAATTAAATTTTTAATTTTCATGTCAACCTTTTGTCTCTTAAACTTTCTAATTTCGAAAATTTATTTTGAAAATATTGAATATATATTTGAGCATGAATTTACTTAAAATTCCTCAAAATAGTGAAATAAGAAAAAAAAGTATTTGTGACAAGATTATCACAAATCCATTCATATCATTTTTTCAGTCCACTAAAATTGTAAAATATAGCAGGGATGGGACTTCTTGAAAAGTAATGCTAGTTTATTTAAGAGATTTATTTAAACTGACAATGAGTACAATGAGACCAAAATCACCACGATTAGACTACAAATCTAAAAATCGCCTGAACGACTTTTGTTATCTTTAAAGAATTAATATTTAAAAATTTCGAAACTTTTATTTTTTATTTAAAAACACAATTTCTTTCTTCACTTTTATAAGCATACCTCCACGTCCTCTCTACACGTCCTTTTTTATTTTTTTTTTCATTTCTCCATTTGGCACTGGCATTGACAGCTACTATTTTCCCTCATTCATTTATTCTCCCTTCTCTAAAATATATTTATATTTTTTTCTTTCTTTCCTTCAATATAAATGCCAGTCAAATACAAAATAACAAAAGCAAAGCTTTCCTTCTTTACCCCCGTTATTTTTTTGAAAATGAAGACCAACCGTGGCAAAATTGACGGAAAGAAAGAAATTCTTTTATACTTTTTGCGTCAGCCTAAGAAAAATAAAATTCGAAAGGAACAAAAAATAAATAAAAAGAATGCTTTGTGCCACCAAAAAAATTTTTTTGGAAGAAGACGACTTTGTGTCTCCCCAAAAATTCTTTTTTTTCCTTTTAAATTTTTATTTCCTTTTATTTTTTTTTGTATTTTTAACTTTTTAATTTATTGTTTTATTTTTTTTTGTGTTTATTTGGCTAAGGAAACCTCTTTTTTTAATAATTTTTTATCAATGTTGGCGACCGGTTATTAACCTGTACCAGGGATGTTACGGATACCCTAAACCCAGACTTTTTTCGACCAAAAAATAAATAAAAAGAATGCTTTTTTTAACTGTCTGAGGAAATTCCCTATCAGAAGAAAATTTAGAAAATCCGACTCGAAACCCAACCCGACTTTTTTCTCTACTCGTGACATCCCTGACTTGTACCCTCGATTTTTTTGGTTATCACTGGTTTTTGACCTACAGGTTTTCGTTTTTAGTTTGGTTACCCAAAAATTTTCTTTTTAAAAAAATTTTTTTCTTGTCGCCACAAAATATTTTTTTATATTTTTTAAAAATTCATTTTTAATTTAAAAAAATTTTTTAAATAACAGTCTCCTTAAAACTACCAATTTACCCTAATTATTAATTTATTTTTAAAATTATTAAATGTCCTTTTATTTAATTTCCTTTATAAAGCTTTAATTATTTTTTGATGCGCGGCAAGTGTCACATACCCCCACACATAATTATTTCCTTCCTTTTTTCTCTACAAAATATTAATTTAAATATTTAATTGCCAAAGTTCCTTCCCTTGTCTAATTTATTATTTTCAAAATATTCTCTTATGCATAAATAATTTAATGAAAATGCCAAAAATTATTTCCCCGAAAAAATATTTCTTTCTTCACAAGAAGAACAAAAGCCTTAAAAAAAGAAATAGTAAAATATCTTTTATTGAATATTTAATTGTGTGGGTGTTGTGGAGGGGGGATGATGATCCTTTGGGGGATACTAACAAATAAGAGACAATAAAAGAGAAATTTTCTAAAAATTATTTTTTAATTTTATTTAGTCGAAACACCCACTAATGTATAAACTCGGTTTTTTAAATGTAGTTGGCCTCTGATTGAAGGATGGGGGGAGGGGGGAGATACGCCTAAGTGATTACTTCCAGCTAGACTATCGCTCATTAACACTGCTAAAATAATATTTTTCAGATATAATGAGATGAGTTCAAAAATCACTTAAACATATTCAAAATGGTTTTAAAAATTAAATCTTCCCCATTTCAAGAAAATTTAAAAATTAAGTTTCTCACGCGGGTTCGAACCCACGACCCCCGAAATACAATTAAAAATCTTGTCATAAAAATATTTTTTGCTGTTTATTCGGACTCTTTAACATTTTCAACCAAATTTATTTGGTGCCAATAATTTTCTTAAAGTCTTAAGGGAAAAATAAGAATTTTCAATATTCATTGACTTTAAGTAAAGCTATGAGAAGAATTAAAAGTTCCGAAAATTTGCCGTACCCTGTACTTTATTTAAATTTTTATTTTCTTCGACCTTTTCCTGGTCCTCTTTTTTCTGAATAATTTTAAAAAAAATAAATTTCTTTAAAAAATATTTTTATTTTCCTCTATATTTCATTCATTCATTTCAATTCCACTAATCTCCCCCTATACTTTTTCTTTAAATAAATGCAAATTCCTTCCCTTTTCCTTTTAAAATAAATTAAATAAATAGAATTTTTTTCATTTATTTTTTTTCTTGACATCAATCAAAATGATTAGGAGAAGCTTTTTTTATTTTTATTAGTTTAATTGAAAAAAGAGAAAAAAACGGAAATAATTTAAATTAGTCGAATATACCTACCTACAAGGGTTTTTTCTAGTTCCAAGCAGAACTACCTAGTTTCTTTTTAGTTTTTTCTAGTTCCATTCCACTTTCGATTTCCAAGACCTCCTGCAACTGTTCTAACCAACCTCTATGTCTTCGCAAAAAATACATTTTTAATTATTTAGAGCACCGTCTCCTGAAACGGTGGTTCACCAGAGCGGTGAGAGCCTCTCCTCAGAGCTACCGTCTCCGAGGCAAAAGCCACCGCAACCACCGTCCCCGTGAAAACAGCCGCCTAACCATAAATTTGGAACCCTAGTTTAGAGAATTCTTTAAATAGGACTTTTATAACTTTGATGTGAACATAGGTATGCACATATGGAAAATGCGGAAGCTCGTTCCTTCCCATCAGTTTCAGCAACTTCAGGCTTTCCTCAATTTTGGTTTACACATTTTACTGGTATTGAGGATCTATTTTTTGAATTTCTGGCCATCCTCTCCCCTAGCCTATATTTTATATCAGCTCCTTCCTTAACCTTTTCTACCTCCAAATACACAAATTATTGAAGAAAAGAGGGCTTTTAGTAAACAATTTTTTCTTGAATTTTTAGTGCCTTAAACTATTTTCTTTAAGAAAAAATATAAATAATCCTTTATTTACAATTTTTTTCTGTTTACTTTTTTTGGAATAATTATAGGAGAAAATTTATTATAATTATTTTTTAAAATTGTTTTTAGGGCAAAAAAATACTTAAAAATTAATTTTTATTTTTATTTATTTATTTACGTCAATTCCATAAATTTAAATAATTTTATTTTTAAAAAAAACTAAAATAATTTATATTTATTTTTTTATTTTTTTAGTTAAATAGAAAAAATTTTTTTAATAATTTTATTCTTAAATTATTTTTTAATAATTTATTAAATAATAATTTTTGTTGACGTTGATTGGAAAAATTTAAAAAAAAATTATTTTTTTTTTGCAAAAAAATATTTTTAATTTTCTAAAAATAAAATATTATTTTCTAAAATCTATGCAAACACAAATCCTTTTATTAATTTTTTTCATTTATTTTGGATTTTAGTCTCGTTATTTTCCATTAATTTAATTGCTGTATAATATTATAGAAAGGGGGCATTTGGGCGTCAACTGCATTTTGGCGTTTGCTTATAAAATTGCCAAAAGAGAAGTTAGAGCTATAAAATTTTGTTTTTAGGTAAAAAATAAGGTTTTCTAAAATCTCTCAAAATTTCAGAATTTTTGGTTAATTTTAAAAAAAGTGTGGTTAAAAATGCCTAAAAATTTTCAAAAATTTCAACTTTTTTGTAGTTTTTCGGCCATAACTTGTTTTTTATTCAACCAAAAAATCTGAAATTTATAGAGAAAATAGTTGATACTATTTGGTATTTATTAAAAAAATTTTCATGGCGATAGCTTTGTTAAAGGCTAATTTATAGACAAGCATCTTACGTTGTCCTCTTTCCTCTAGTTGAATACTTTTGTTGCCTATTAATTTTTTAAATTTATTTTCGAAATTTTTTAAATTACTTTTTTTTAATTTTAGATAAAATTAGAAAAAAATTTTTGCAAAATTTTTAATTAAAAAATTCTTTTTCAAAAGATTAACGAGAATTTATTCAATTAATTATTTAAATATTTCTTCTTTTTTACTTAACAACGGGACTCTCCACACGCATTGCTCGGCGCTTTTTGCGACGTGGAGGTTCTTCAGGTAATGCAGAAAGTATTGAAAATGAAGAGGAGGAAAGGTGAAAGAAATTTGAAAATTTTTTTAAATTTCAAAAAAAATTATTTAGACACAAACTACGCGAAAAACGAAGTGATGGAAGCAATAATAAACACAAAAATGCTTGGAGATTTGTTGCTTCAAAGTCAATGATTCCTTTAAGCAGGTGAATAAATTTGGGAATTTAATGTTTTTAAAATTTTATTTTTTGCCTTTTTTATTCCAGGTTGGGACAAAATGTCACCTTAATTAATTTTTTAATTTTTGGTTGAATTAACTGATAATATTAGGGGGTATTTTGATTCTTTTTAAATATTTTGTTTAAATTCGATTTTTTAAATTATTTTTAAAAATAATAGGCACAGTCGGACCTCATTTGTAATTAAACCCTTAGGCTTAAAAATTCTGTCTTATAACGAGGTGTACCTTAAATAATTGCTAAATAGAGTGGGTATTATTCAGTCAGCTTCTCCCGCCCAGAGAGGTCAACCAAATTAAAAAATTACCTCCTAAGGGCAAGTGAGGGCCAACTTTCGTAATTAAGGGGTGTTAGACAAGACACCGCCCAGCCAAAATACCGTCCGGACATTATGCGTTGTTTGGAATTTTGAGGTTTGCTCGTACTTGTACCTGTCCATTTTTTGATTGTAATCATTTCGTACACAAGTACGAGTACGAATTTTGGTACGAGCTTCCAAACACTGGACATTAGGCGTTGTTTTGTACCAGGGATGGGCCGGGTTACCCGAAACCCGACCTGACTTTTTTCTCACCCCTTTTTATCCCTGTTTTGTACTGACATTAAATCACATTTTAATTTTAACTGAAACGAGAAGGGTGTAAATACCTTTTTTCTTCTTTTTTCAAATAATTTTTTTGTTTATTTGTTTTTATTTTTTCATTGAGAATATTTTTGAATGACGCAAATAATTTCAAAGTATGTTGCCTCTTAAAAATTAAATTTCAAAAGTCACCAAAAAATGTACTCATTTTCTCAAAGAAATTTAATATTTTTATTTACTTCCTTTTCTCTTTTCTTTAAAATTTAATTATTTAAAATACTTAAGTGCGCACAACCTTTTTTATTTTCTCACATTTTTAAAAATTTTTTTCTAAAACTTTTTAACAAATTAATTTTTAATTTTTTTTTTATTTATTTTCTTTAAAATACACATTTTAACAAATAAATAGACTTTAAGAGATAAATAGAGACTTCGAACTGTCCACAATCTTTTATTATTAGAAGGCAGACTTTTCTCTTTTTTTTCTCCTAAAAATTAAATTTTTTTTCTCCTCAACTTTATCCAAATAAATTTAACATAAAAAATCCACTTAATCCATTTTAATATTAAAAAAATTTTTTTGGTTAACGGAGAGAGAGAGTCAATGACCATATTTTATTGACCGATGTCCCTGAACCTGGTATTTTTTGACTAAATCGGGTTTTTCGAACCCTGAAGGTCTGTTCTAGTCAGTTATAACAGAAAACCTTTAAAAGAGCACGGAAGTCTAAATATTTCTGACTTTAGAGACAATTTAGTCTTCATTTCTAATTTTTATTTAATTATTGCTAAACACCTCTGGTACATTCTCTGTAAAAATTTAGAATATCTATTCAAAAAAACTCTAAGAAAACCCCCTCAAAATAATAGGAATTTCTTCTTGTCGTTATAATTAGAGTCGCGAAAAATGAGACCGAAAGAACGTGTGAATTGTGTGGTTTTCCCTAATATATAACAATACTATATGAAGTTCAATTAGAACTGGAACCTTTCAATTTTTGAAACCAGGATATTACAGTGAACATTGTAACCTTGTGCTGTTATAATCAGTGTTTGGAAGCTCGTACCAAAATTCGTGTAAGAATACCTGTGTAAGAATACGAGCAGACGAGCAATTTTCAAAATTCAAAACACTGTCTACTATAACTGAAAGTTTA